ATCTACCCAATATATGTGGGAATAACATATATATATATATATATATATATATATATATATATATATATATATATATATATATTTTAAAAACTAAGATGACGTGATATGAGATTTTAAAATTCAAAATTTTGAAACAAATAAAAAAGGTAAAAAGATTTCCTGTTTTCAAATTGTTATCGTGCTACATATCAAATGAAGGCTCAAATAATAATCTTGCATATTTCTGTGGTAAAAAAACCTGGTTAAATTCGGCAGTTTCAAAAATAGATATAAAAAAAAATACTTAAGAATAGGTTTGTGATGTATTTATTTAGAATAACTAATATTAAAAAATTTATGTTAATCGAATATGGAAATAAAATTTAAAAATATATTTTATAATTTAATTTATTCAATTAAAAAATGTATTTGTACAAAAATAAAAAGGGAGGTGGATTTATTTATTTATGTAAAGTCCGTGAATAATAAATAAGTTAGTTTTCGTACATAATATATCTAATTAGTAATGATTATCTTATTCTTTTCAAATTTATATTAATTCTCTAACAAGGGGAAGTTACGGATGTGAGGTCACTAATTTCAATGAAAGTTTGTTTTGTGATACTAGGTCGAAAAATATTAGACTGAGGGTTCTTGCCTAGGAGCCAAGAAAAAAAAATGTATTATTTTTTCTTAGTACTGTTTTCTGAATTTGCTCAACATGGATTTATAACTTATTGTATATTAATCACTTTTTTTTTTTTTGTTTAAATAAGAAAAACATATTGATTTTAATATAACACGAATTCGAATAAATAATAGATAACAAAAACTCACAGACGCTTCTTCCAAAGTATAAACTATAAAGTAGACGAAGTAAATTTTTGTCATGAAAAAATTATTCTGATTTGTTTTTAGCGTCCATTTAAACTCTAAAATATGAGTTCGTTTTGTAGTGCTATTACTATAAAAAATATTTTTCTTTAACTTTTTTTTTTTACATTAGCCCCAAAACATCTAAACAATTTGATAAAACGTGTGTAAAGTCCAGTGTAAAAACGTTCTATAGAAAAAGCAAGAAAACATTTATAGGAAACAGTAAATTTATTTACACATTACACAACTTAAAAAGTATAAATTTTTTACTCTAAATCGGACCAGTACTAGCATAGATACAGTACATGGGACATTATGCCAATGTTAAGTTTGAAATAACTAGAAAACTTTATGCTTTCCGTAACATTCCAGATGCTCATTTGAACGATAATTAAATTGTATTCAAAGCTAATTTTATGTAATCAGATCGGAGTAGTGAAGATACAACAATATATGTAGCTTGTCAAGCGGCAAGAGAAGAGTGTATACACCAAATATTTTATATTTATTTTATTATTTTCGTCTCTACCTCGCTGTTTCAGCTATATGGGAATTAATGCTTGTGTAAAATACCCCAGAACTCATAATCTTCAGGTTATCGTATACACCAAATATTTTATATTTATTTTATTATTTTCGTCTCTACCTCGCTGTTTCAGCTATATGGGAATTAATGCTTGTGTAAAATACCCCAGAACTCATAATCTTCAGGTTATCAGGTTACCAGGCAATAGGTGTATTGCAAACGCATTTGTTCACTCAACCAACCCTGTCCCCCCCTTATTTTTTTATATCTATGTTGTAGCCCAGAAGATAATACCTCACATGGTTGGGTAACAAAAACTTATTTCTTCTGTTCATTATTTCTAAAATTGGTGTCTTAAGGTTTTCTTTTTTACATAAATTAGGCCATTATTCACCAACATTTCATTTATTAGCTATTAATTACGATGTTTCGACCATACTAAGTGCCATTTTCAAGTCTGGAAAATTGTAATATCATTATTAGTTAACATTTAACATTTACAAACAGAATTTTTTATTACACATAATTAACTTATCTAAAGATCTATGTCATAATATTTTCAATACACATAGATTTATACAATTCTATACAATAAAAGTATACACTTTTTCTTATAAAACCTTTAATGTACGTAACTTTACTCATTAAAAACAATTGAATATTACCTTAATGAGTCCTCCATTAAATGTTTATTATTAATGTCGCATTAATTTTTTCAGTGAAAAATTAAATACTCCTGCTATTTTAGAGTTCCCCCTACATCATTTCTGGAGGGACTGACTTATATCATCCTAGTGGGGATATTCAAGGGGAGAGGGGTTTTCCTTCTATTGTTTAACAATAATGGATTCTTTTATCTAATTTATGATTTTTATATTGGTTTTAAATAAATTATTGTATTATATGTGAATATTGTTAATTACATTTGTGTAAAAAGTATTTATATTGTCCTCATCTGTATGATTGTTAACGGAATCCTGTAAATTTTTAGTGATATATATTGACTCTATAATTTTTCTTTTATTGTTACTATTTTCCATATATATTATTTTGGCATTTTTAAAATCAAAGTGGTGTTTGTTGAATGTTACATGTTGTGAAAGGCCGGTTGATGTGTTTGATTTGGACTTACAATTTTGTTCATGTTGTTTTATTCTTTTTTCGAACCATTGTCCCGTTTGTCCTATATATGATTTATTAGTGCAATTTTTACAATTTATTTTATAAATAATGTTAATTTTCATGTCACGTGGTATATTATCTTTGGTATTAGTATACATTTTTTTAATTTTATTTACTGGCTTTTTACCTAATTTAATTTCCGATAGATCATATTCCCTGAAATTCCTTTGAATTTTACTAGTTAGATCTTTAATATAAGTTATTGAATGATATTTAATGTTACATTGTTCAATTTTATTAAGTAATTTGTGATTAAATTCGTTTTTTTTTGTTTACAAATTTACTTCGGTAGTTATTTTTGTTATGGTTTGTTATCATTATTATTATCACTCCGTTTCATTTTTTGGTTTTTGTACCATATTTTATGTATAATTCTTTTAGGGTACCAATTATCCAGTAATATATTATATTTTTCAGTTTTTATTTTATTGATATGTATTTTATCCGTGATCATTTCAGCTTTTTCTATTATGTTTTTAGCTAAATTAATTTTTTGATTTGGACAATGGTTACTGTACCAATTTAAAATTCTATTGCTAGTTATGGATTTTTTGCACCAGGATGTGGTGAATTCTGCTATTTCATTTCTATATATCATAATGCCCAGAAATCTGATTTTATTGTTTTGTTCTATTTCTATTATCAATTTTAGTTTGTCTGATATGTTATTTAATATCTGTAAAAAAAATTTAGTTTCATTTTTGTTCATTATCATGAGGACATCGTCATTGTATTTTATACAGCGTTTTGGAGTTATATTAAGTTTTTTCATCGCTTGGTCCATTATGTGGTTTAGATATATGCTGCTAAGGTTGACAGAGAGCGAACCTCTCATCGGTAAACCGTTTTTCATTAAATAAAAAGTATTATTATATGCAAAATATCCATTTTCACAACATAATCTTATTCCTTCAAGGAATATTGCCTTATTTTTAATTGCTGTATGAGGTTCTATTTCCGATCATTCTTTTTCTAGTATTTTATATACTTCTTTTAGCAGGACGTTTGTAAAAAGAGACTCCACGTCATAACTTACTATTTCTTCATCCTCATTGATTTTATTTAATAATTTAATGCTATCTTTAACTTGTATTGAATTTTTGGTATTGTAAGGATTATTATTGCTTAATTTGTTTAATGCGGGATTTAGAAATTTGGATAATTTTTCGGTGATGCCGTTTATATTATTTACAATAGGTCTTAGGGGTTTATTATTTTTATGTAGTTTACTTGATCTGTGTATCCTAGGTATTGTATAATGCCTTGCTATCAACTTATCTTTAACTTTATCATTGATGTATTTATTTTTACATAATTTATCGATGTATAATAAAATTTTATCTGGTATTTCCTTTGAGAGATTTTTTCTGAGGCTACGATAAGTTAGGCAGTCATCCAATAGGTTCTGCATTTTATGATTTTATTCTTTTTTAGAAATTATCACTGTTTTTTTTGTTTTATCCGATTTCATTATTAGTAACTCGGGATTGTTTTTAAAAAATATTTTAGCATCTTTAATATCTTTATTTATTTTTGGATGTAAGAGATTTTTATAATAATTACGAGTTCCCGTCCCGGTGCCGTAGGGGCTTTAAACTCTGACATTAATCCTCTGCCCTTCCAGGGGAGAAAGTAAACAAAAAAAAATCTCAACCTATAAAAAAAACATATTTGATATAAAGTGGCTCTCTTCAAAAAAATAATAATAAATTTATATATTATATGTTTTCAGAACTCCTATATTTATATATATATATATATATATATATATATATATATTATATATATATATATATATATATATATATATATATATATATATATACAGACCATTACTCGAATATAATTTTCTTAAAATACAATAAAAAGTGTAACATTAGTATAGGTTTCGATAAGAGCTATATATAGGCAACTGTACTCATTATTGTTTATTTGAGGCGTTTGATTTTAAAACATATTACATCCATTTTAAAAATGCTTTAGAACATCAATAAAAGTTGTATAGAACCACTTTTGATAGGAAATTGAATCTTTTGGTATTGATTTCGGGAAGACCTAAATGGTTTTGAAACAAATACATCAAGGTTTATTAAAATAAACATTTAACACTTGCGAAAAATAAAAATAAATTATTTTTTAAAAATAAATCAATGTAATCTCTTTTGAAACCAAACGCCTCATGTGAAACAGAAGTATTTACGAGTAAAAAACTAAGAAAAGAACAAAAAAAAATGGTGAAAATCGGAAAATGTACGGGAATTTTTGGGAGGAGAATCGCTGGACACCCTGATAATCCTTATATATCAAAAAGTCAGATGACCCACAATCCTAATTTATTAGAAATGTCGGATTAGAAAATGGAGGACTTAATTAATATGCTAAATTTAAATTATTTAAAGGAATTGGTTTCTTAATAATTAATAAAAGTAATAGTGTCCTTTTTATTAACACTTTTATTGTAAAATAATAATTTTTTTTTTTATTATTACAGTCTGACTATGTTCTGTCTCGCCTGTAGAGAAGTCCTGCTGAAACCTTGGGAAAAGACTTGAAACGGTTGAAAGTAATGGTGTGGGAATACCTTTTTACTTATTGTTTGCTAATTCCTGCCAGTAAGTTCCTTTAGGAAATTCATATTTTTCCATCGTAGATGGAAACATTTCACTAGAATATCCTGGATCCTAAAAATTTAATAAATTAAATTGCAGTTATTAATTATTTTTTCTCTGTTATACATCACAATAACTGGTTGTTTAATTGTTTGAAATTTTATATATGATGACCATATTTTGCCTTTTAATTTATGTGTTGTTGGGGCCAAATTGTCTTTCTTGATGCCAAACTCTGCGTGTATAATTTTTTTTTTGTTTATATAAAATGAGTATATATATTTATAAACTTGTTTTTTATTTCCTAAATTATTGAGGTATCTGAAGAAGAGAAGTAGTCGAAAGTAGGAAATTTAGTAGTTGGAGACATAAGGCTCTCATTAGATCATATATATAATCAAAAAATAGGTACGCTTATGAAAATTATCATCGAACATTGACTAATAGAGTAGACAATATTGTAGAAGTATATTACATTAAATAATAATCACATGTGATCTTTTTTATCAATATTAATTTATTATATCTTTGATGTTGTTATTATTTATTATTTAATAAATAAACTCTTTTGTTTTTCAAATGAATATCTTTTCTTTTTAATACCCATAAACTGTTTGTTAATAGCAATTTCAAATATCAAAATCACTTGTACCATGCCAGGAGGAGATGCTGTTAAGTACTGCTCTCCATAAAAAAAAAATAAATAAAAAAAAATAAATAAATAAAAACTGTACCGCTATACAACCCATGAAGGGTCTTGGGTTCAGTTCTATTTAAGGCAGAATGGGCATATTTATATTCAAAAATGATTTATATTTATGGCATTTTTTAATATAAATATGAATATATTTATATTCATAAAACGAAACATGAATACAGATGATGCATATTCACAGGTGTAAATATAAATATGGCCATATTCACTACTTTAAAAGTGAATACGGCTGTATTTACAGTTGCGCTAGTGAATACGGCTGTATTCACCTTTATTAAAATGAATACACTTAAATTTACAGAAGTGAATGGGAATATTTTCACCTAACCTTATGAATGGAATACTCTTATTTATTAAATAAATAATTATTTTACTTTAGGTATTTACCAAAATTAAACAAAAAATTAAAATAGAATTCTGGACAGTAAGGAGTTAATTAAATAAATCTCTTAAATTTTTTTGGAATAATTTACAAAGATTGGTATTTACTAACACAAAATGATGTATAAATAAACTTTTAATTTTATTAAACATAAAATTATAATTATGTATGAGGGTCCTAATTATGTAAACTAAAGTCAATTAAGGAAATTGGAAAAGCCGACTAGATGACTGAGCTAATGCCTAGACATATATATATATTTTACCGCGCTGTATGTTCCTATTATAGAAAATAGGAAATATTCCCATTCACTTCTATAAATTTAAGCGTATTCATTTTAATAAACTTGAATACGGCCGTATTCACTAGTGCAACTGTGAATACAGCCGTATAGCTCAGTCATCTAGTCGACTTTTCCAATTTTCTTAATTGACTTCAGTTTACATAATTAGGACCCTCATACATAATTATAATTTTATGTTTAATAAAATTAAAAGTTTATTTATACATGATTTTGTGTTAGTAAATACCAACCTTTTTAACATTATTCCAAAAAAAATTAAGAGATTTATTTAATTAATTCCTTACTGTCCAGAATTTTATTTTAATTTTGGAAAATACCTAAAGTAAAATTAATATTTATTTAATAAATTAGAGTATTCATTCATAAGGTTGTGTGAAAATATTTCCAATCACTTCTGTAAATTTAAGCATATTCATTTTAATAAATTGCAATTGTAAATACAGCCGTATTCACTTTTAAAGTAGTGAATACGGCAGTATTTATATTTACACCTGTAAATATGCATCATCTGTATTCAGGTTTCTTTTTATGAATATAAATATATTCATATTTATATTCAAAAATGCCATAAATATAAATCGTATTCGTATTCATCTTTTTGAATATAAATATGTCCATCTCTGATTTAAGGAAAGTACTGTTTCAGCGCCAACAGTTGTGCAGAGAGGGAATTGGATCAGGATTACGCTCAACCGCCAGGTTTTCCCCCTTTGGAATAAAAATCAATTATTTAATTATGGGTACCCACTTTATAGAGACTGGGTGTGCCCAAGAGGGTCTTCCTACCCCAGGGTCGCCACACGGCTAATGGAACAGAATAAATATTTTTGTCTGCCATGAGCAGGGATTCGAACCTGGGACCTTGAGCATTGGAAGTTAAGTGCCTTACCAGTGAGCTAATCCTCCCCCTGCTCCCTCTTATATCATGTACAATATTCTACCAGAAAAGATTTTAAAAAATCTAGTGCGCGCAACACACAACTTTCACTTACCCCTTTAGTTTGAATAGAAATTATTTTCTGGCAATGTTGGGCTATTATAAAAATTTAAACCGAGCTAAAGCTTAAAGCTTACAGATAACAAATCATTAAGACCATTAAAATTACAAAAAATCTATTTATTATTTCAACGATAGGCAATAAAAATCTAGTTTTATTAACCACATAACTTCAGTCTTTGAGCCTTTCAGCTGATAGAATGACTAACTCCAATTTCAACATTTTTGAGTAATGTCATTTTAGTGATATTTCTAGTTGGAAAAGTTATATCTATACAGACAGTGAGTAAGTTGATTTCAGAGTAGGTAATTGCAGTGTTGAAATATAGAACTGTGACTAAAGGTATAAATTTTTCCACTAGAAATATCACTAAAATTAATAATAAAGAATTGGAGTTAGTCATCCGAAAGGCTTATATATGCCTTAAATTACAATCAGATATTCTTATTTATCCCCAATTAAGAAATACGATAACTGTCATTCTCGAGTGAGAACTCTCACATTAGATATCTATCCTTCTCCCAAATGTATTAAAATTATAATCGATATTAGGGAAACATGTTTATTCCTATAAATTATCAAGTGTATCTAACCCCCACAATTGGTGAAGCTACATACTTTATAATGACTGTAAGTAACTATAAACTATAAGCAACAGTTTACTTAATCATTAATTGGCTTGTCTCACTGTAAAATATTACTTCAGCAAGTCAAGTTAGAAGACTTGGCTGTCCATGACCTATTGGATCGTAGCAGAATCCTTGGTTTGCAGTTCTTTCATATATTAAGCTTCAGATATATTGACAACTTAAATTAAAATGTGTGCATAAAACATGATAGTTTTTAGAGAAAGGAGATGGTCCTAAGAAGCAGGTCCTAGTAACCTAAAAACCCTTGAACATGTATTTGTGAGTTCCAAAGAAGTAAGCTTGGCAGACGTTGAGGTTTTTTTTATTATATTATGTACAGTTCAACCTATTTTTGTGGTGAAAAGAACACAAGAAGACAGGATCAAAAAAACATAAAATTTGGAAAAGGAAATGGTGAATGAAAAAAAATCATAGAAATTCTCACTGTTGGTGGCATATAAGCAGCAGACTTGATTACAACAGGAGTTTTAAAGTGTTCATGTTGCTGATCAACATATTCTATATACTTTCCCTCTTTGGTTCCTGAGAGACTCACATAGTCCCAAAATTGTAAGTGTTGTACCATTTCACAAAGCCCGACACCACCAGCATGAGGACATACTTTGACTGAAATAAAAAGTTAATGATTATCCTAATTAATTTAATTTTTAAAGGCAAAATATTAATTTTTTTGTGTATGGATAATACCTTTGAGTTTCTCTGCCATAAGATAAATTGAAAGTATCTCATTGATCCCTCCGACCCTTGCAGAATCGATCTGACAGAACTCTAAAGCTCCTGCTTGAAGAAACTGTTTGAACATTACACGGTTACAACACATTTCTCCTGTTGCAACTCCTATCCCATATTGCTTCAGTGCCTTTAATGAATAAAAATATAATATTAAAAAGTAGACCTGATATTAATATAATCACTATTGTTGATATCACTAATATTTCCTATTGTTGATATCGATACAATAAATTATAATTTAATATTTGAAACCTTGAACTTTTATTTAAGACTTATTTTTATTAAATAACATTAAATTTTCATTTTTTCTCAACTTATTAATTATTATTGCCTCCTCTATAATTTCTTTCATAACACTTTATTGATAAAACAAGCTTTAAAAAATTAATCAAAATAAATTAAACTACAAATCAAAAACATTAACCTGAGCTATTTTAGCATGTCCGAGGATGTCATCAGGAGAGGTTGGTTCCTCAATCCAAAGTGGCTTATACTCTGCCAGACTTTTCATCCAATCAATTGCTTCATCAACACACCATACTTGATTGGCATCTACCATCTGAAAATAAAATAATTATACTTTTTAATTTCCTGCATCGAAAATAATAAATGTAAATGATTTTGTATTTTATGAATGAAATAATATAGATAACAGTTTATTCTTTCAGCTCAAAATGTTTTTGTATATCTGAGACAAATACGAGTTATGACTAGTAATATGAAAAGATTGAATCAATATTAACAATGAGATTTTATAACTTTAGTGCAGGTTAACATTATCAAAAATAATCAACATAATAATAATCGATCACATGTTAATATATCTTAAAACACAAAAACATATTTTACATTATGCTAACTTACGTATAATTCAACAGAAGAGTATTTAGTGAAATATAAATTTATTTTTCTGTTTTAATTAAATGAAAATGAATAATCAATTATTTTTATTTTAAACTAATAATTTTATTAATTGTATTCTTTCTAACCAGTACGTTGGATGAGCCTATATTTTCTCTGACCATTGCACATCTCTTCTTGTCTTCATCTAAATTCTGTCCAACTTTCACTTTGAAAGCTGTAAAACCTTGATCTAGATATTTTTTACACAAGCTCTTCACCTTTTCACTGGAGTATCCCAACCACCCTAAAATAATAGTAAATAATGCATAGCTAATATTTATTGAAAAAAAATTTTTAATAACAAAACAAAATTAAAGAATAACAAAGCAAGCAGGAATTGATTTGCATCCCAGCAGAAGTTATTTATCACTGTGAAGGTTTGCACGCTTTAATACTCTCATATTCACTGGTTCATATACGGTCTGAGTAGGTTGAAATTTATTTTGTGGAAGACCCATGGAATGAATGACCTTCCCACTCTGGTTATACCTGTAGAACAACCCACTCCTCCCCATATACAATAAATGGGGTGGTAGGGAGTAAACAAAAAAAAAATCTATAATTTGTAGGGATAGATGAGAATACAGCAATGATGAAGGTAAATCTCTTTGGTCTACTGCATAATGGTATAAAATTTTCTTAGTTATTTTCTTTAAGAGTTGTTCTTTGGTACAAAAAGGATTCAAAGACCACTAATGGGTTGTCTCATCAATTTTTCAAAAATTTTAAGTAGGCATATGATTATGTAAGGAGTAGAATCAGTTTATCTATCAATTTATTGTATCATAAACTAGAACAGGCTATTTCACAAGCTAGCAACACTTTTAGTTTGACAGTTTTCTAGATTATTCACCACAAAATCAGATGTACGGCAGGTTAGATGTGTTGCATTTAATTTAAAATTTGTAAATATAATATGATAAGCAAAAATTTTAATTATAAAAACATTGCTGAACTAATATATTATATTGTAATAGCCTTCACTGGAATTGGCAGGTCTGAAAAATTGTTGCTTTGCCGTCACTCCTAACTCATCATTGTGGTATCTAACTTCTGTTGTGTCATAAAGGATTACAAAACTTTTCAGTGAATAATGGGTTTGGAGTGAGAGTTGATAATGTCATAATTATTCATACCTACCTATTTTTGTACCTTAGTTATGAATTAATTGTTTAAGGAAATATTATCATTTTTGTCCAGACAGTGCTAAATCAGTATTATGTAGTAGTGTTTGAAAGACTTGAAACTTTGTTTTAGAATATTCCCAGAATTTTTATAAGTAAGGCCAACTACCTGAATCATATGAAGCTTTCACGAATGAGTGGAAGGAATAATTTATGTTTTTCTTTTGCATTCCTTCAATAAAAAGATAGAAGTATTAGGAGAGAATGAAAGGATAGATATGTCAAGAATGAAACATATATAAGAATAACTATCGGTAGATGCATGCTTTACTTCTTCTAAAATATATATTGCCAAGAGTTAAGGTAGTTAGGCAGTTTAAAATAAATACAATCATTAACAACCAACAGATGAGCTAGCTTTTATGAGCATGAGGCAAGGAAAAATAAGGCTTTATAGACATGAGGAAAATCAGTAACTAAGGGGTGTCTCTTCCATGTTTTTTATTCACTTCACTGTTTTGTAAGGTGATCCTTTATTTAAACCCTTCCAATATTTTTCTGCCATTCTGGGGCTTTAAGAATTATGGTCATTTCCTTTATTAACCGGTTAGTTTCATATCCAATCCATTCAATTTATCATGAAATCATTTGTCTTACTTTCAATGACTGTTGGAATCTGTGACTTAGGATAAAGTGTAGTCACTAGCGGATCCAGGATTTAATTTTGGGGGGGGCTTGAGCCCGAAACCTTTTTTTTCATAAAAATAACGATAATAACTTTGGAAAAACAGAAAGAAACTAACTACCTATATGAAATGGTATTTAAGTTATTCCTTAAGTACTATTAAATGTAATTACACCAAGAATAATACCTTAAGAGGTATTTTAAAAAAAAAATTGCTCATAAAACATGGTTATATTTTTCCATTTTGGAGGGGGCTTCAGCCTGAAAGCCCCCCCCCCCCCCCGTAGATCCGCCCGTGAGTGTAGTTATTCATGCTATTAATTATTAAACAGTAAAGAGGTTTTAATAAATAAACTTGAACTCTTTCCTTTAATTTAGAATGTTGTTTAAACAGTTAGTGCAGTCATTTTAGACTCAGATGTAACAATTTACATTTTTCTCAGTATGTAGAGCCCATATCATTCTCTTGTCAAAGGCTATGTTTAATTTATTATGCCAATCCCTTCCACGGCTGTCAGGGATATTGACATAATAATTCTGCAGTACATTTATTGTGCTATTGTGGACTGTATATCAGGTATATGGTTAATATATAATTAAGCTATTGAGGGAAACGATTGCTATATTTGTTACTATTTACATTATAATTTGCTATATTAAGCCAGATCTATTACAGAGAATGGTTAGTGTGTTAATAAATTTAGAATGATTATTGCAATTATTTTAAACATCAAATTAGCTGGGTAGTGTCTGTAAATGAATTAATTTACTTGCTGTTTCTCTTATTCCGCATTCTTCTTTTTCTCATCTTCCTCCCCTCGCTAAGCCTGTTGTGCTTCTACTTCATCTCTTCTTTGTTAAGATATATTTTAAGGTTGTAAGATATATTTTTGTTGCTGGCCTGCAATGCTGCAGTCTTAAGTAGATATGAAAGCTGCAAGTCAGTCAATCTCTTACACTACGAGCGTCTATGCTTTAGTCATGGTGGACTCTGTCTAACATCTGAGTTATATAGTCAGTATGCCAGAGATCGCAGCTGTGTTGTATTTCTTGATTTAATTTATATTAAATTTAGTGGGAAATTTGCTGTGTTCCCTAAACAGGCTATATTATCTACCTTTATAGTTATACTCAGCATGTATATAAAATTTAATTAAGAATTAAACCGATGAAAATAAACATGTTTCTAAATTATGTATTATAACGTTTCTATAATATAATATATCAACATTAGTATTTCTATGAAATACATCCAAATTCAATTTTAAGGTGAATCAAAATTCTACTCTTATATTTAAAAAATCAGCTCACCGACTTGGGTTGTATAAGCTGGATATCCATTTTTAATCAGGTCGAATTCTCTAGCTTTTTTATTATCTTCTTTTTCTTTTAGTATTTTGATCGCTTCATCTTTTGTAATCACATCTGTTCTAAATAATAAAAAATAAAGAAGGTAAATGGTTTGAATCGTCTCTTAAATAATACATATGCCAGTTTATTGAGTAACATTAAAAGGGACAGAATGATGATTAATCAAAAAATGATCTAAGAGCTTCTTAGACCATGGAACAAACTTTTAAATACTTGGCACATAGAAAATTATGAGTTTGATAAATGAATCCTCAGTTTGATAATTGCTCTGGGCCAAGATTTTATTTTTGTTGGTGATGGAAGTTGAAAAAATAATCATTTTCTTCTGATTTGGTTCTACATTATCATGATATATTTTACTATATAGTTTTATAATTATTAACTCCTATTGGTAATAGATTATTACTATATAAACCCACATGTATCTGAAGTCAATGACTGATGTCAGCTGTTCAGGTGACATGTCAACTAACAGCTTCCAGACAGGCTTTCCTTCTAGTCTCGCCCAAAGGTCCCAAAGGGCATTGACTATAGCAGCTGTTGCTAAATGCATTACACCTTTCTCTGGACCTATCTGAAAGAGAACAATAGATAAAGTTACTATAAAAAATAAAAAAAAAAAATCATAAAATCCATAGACATTAATTATAATGAACAACCCTACCAAAAGTTCGAATTAATTTTTCTAAGGGTATATTTTAAATTTATTATATAATTTTTAATGTTTTTTTAATTATAACCTTTATTTTTTCATGAATAAATTTTTATTATTAATGTTTTTATATACCTTTATATTATTCCAATTTTATTCTATAATTAGTATACCTCCCTCTATTGTACATTTCTGAATAAATTTTTGCATAAAAACTTGCTAAGTTGTAATTATTTTCTCTGTCTGATTGTTCAAAATTTCTTTTATTTCTATTGTATTAATAATGTCATTATTGATGGTTTCATAAAATGTATTATATTATGATCTGATCTATTTATATTGTCTATTGTTGGCCTTGTATATTTTTATTTTCTGTGTAGTTTTATTAACTCATGAATTCTAGGTCATATATTGATAGTGCTGGTTAATTTTTTATTTTACCAATATATTCTAATTTAAAATTGTTTTCAATATATTTATTTATTTTATTTACTAGTTCTATGATATGATTAATTCTTAATATTTTGTATTTTTTGACCTACAAGTGCTTCAATTGTTTTCATGTAATCATGTTTTTCCATTACTATTGTTTTGTTATTTTCATTTTGTTCGGCCTTATAATAGTTTATTTTTATACTATTTGATTAATAAGTTATTAATCTTTATCACTAGTGAGAAATACATTTTTTTAATGCCTAAAAATTTCAGTAATTCATAAGTTATTCTCATTTAATTAAATAGTTAGATGGTATGGGAAATTACTAGCTATGCTGGCAGTCAATAAATATTTAACGGTTACAGGTATCTTGCATTGTTTACAGATTGGTCAGGTGTTGCAGTGACATAGGATGCTATATTATAAAAGCATTAATCCAAAGTGATCAACAAGTTACCATAATACCTGGTCCTACTCTTCTCACTTCCAACTAAACTTCTGACAATTTAATAATGTTTGAACATTATTAACAATCTTTCCTAGCCTTAGTTTCTAAGTTCTTAAACGCTTTACCAACCTTGATTAGCCATTCTCAAATTTTATCTTTGTCTTACAAACTTTTATCTTCAGCTAAATTTGCTCAGGTAAAAATAACCACCTCATTCTGCTACTGTAAAAGATATGATTCTCTCATTCTTTCTCCCTATTTCTCAACACTGTTTCTTTAAGAAAAAAAGGCAGCTTAAATTTCAACCACATTAAATTAACTGACTAGGAGTTATTTTCTTTCATATCTATATTTCATGGAATTCGCTTTCTAGTGATCTCCGTCAGTTTTGCTTTTCTCATTCATAACTTCTGGCCCTTGATGCTTAATATAATTTCAAGTACCTAGTCCTGTCATAAATATTGTTACAAGGAAATATATAGGGATTACAACAGAAAAAACATTTTTTTTTTCAGAAACTTTATTAGAAAATAAAATCTATATCTATAGAGAGTAAGACTAATAAGAAATTACTCAAAATGTTCCCCTTTGGCTTGACACAGGCATTTAATTTCCGTGGCCAGTCATCAATAACAGCACGTAGCACTTCTTGAGGAAGCGCTCAACTGCTGGGACCAGAGATTGTTTGAGGCTTTCAAAGTTAGGGTGTGCTCTGTGGCATGCCATCCTCTCAAGTTCAGACCAAAGCCGATAATCTAGTGGGTTGAGATCAGGGCTTCCTGAGAGCCAATCTGAGGCAGAGATGAACTCTGGAATGTTCTTTTGCAGCCACTGCTGAGTTGAGCTGGCCTTGTAAGGTGGAGGGGAATCCTGCTGGAAAACTCAATCACTTCCAGCAAACAGAGTTTCATTTAGAGGCTTGACAACAGGTTCCAAAATATCGTCCTGATAGTTTTTAGTGGCTGTAATTTTAAAAATTTTCTCATCGCTAAACAAAATCTTCCGATGAAGATCATTGGTGTAACGGCCAAGGAGCACTTTGCATCTATCAACTCTAATTTTTTTTAGGGAAGTGGTTAGCTTTTTTCCTTGCATTCTTCGAAATGCACCTATCCTAAGGTCATTTTTTGTTGTGTGAGACATTGGTGAATTGGCCGTGCAAGACCAGTGGCTTGACCTGCCTGCTCTTCATATCTGACACCACTGGATTTTTCTGTTTGGGGTGACATTAAACAAACAGTCTATACAAGTCTGGTCAATGACGTTAATTCCTTACAAAGAAGGATAATTGAATCTTGTGAAACAAGAACACATATCCAGTTCTGTTCTGCCATTGTGGCTTTTGAAGAAAGACAGTGGTTCAAAAAATTTCAGGAGATAGACTTCAGCCTTAAAGACAAAGAAGGTCGTGGAAGGACTTCCTCTCTTGATGATGATGTTCTGCGGGCTTTGGTGGAAGAAAACCCCAGAACAATTGTTCATGAAATTGCAAAGAAATCGACCATCGATGACCACCTCAAGGCGATTGGAAAGGTAAAAAAGCTTGAAAGATGGGTTCCATACACATTAAACGACCGCCAAAAAAACCAGCGTTATGAAGTTTTTGCTACACTTCTTTTCCAAAACAAAAACGACCCTTTTCTGTTCAGATTGTTACATGAGATGAAAAGTGGATATTTTATGATAACAGTAGACATTCTGGACAGTGGCTCGACAAAGGAGAAGCAGCAGAACACTTTCCAAAGCCCCCAACTCATAAAAAAAAATTATGGTTACTGTTTGGTGGGATAATGAAGCCATCTTTGGTCAATCGGAGGGGGCCCATTTTGTTGCATTACAACGCCCAGCCACATGTCTCAGGTGTGGCATCACAAAAACTGTTGGAGCTTGGACAGAAACTGTGCCACATCTGCCCTACTCTCTAGACCTTTCATCTGTGTATTATAATTTTTTTAGACCCCTGGATAACTAATTATGTGACAAAAATTAAGTGGACAAAGAGAATCAGAAAATGGGTTTTTGGAGTTTTTTCAATCTAAAGATGGGAAATTCTATTCCAAGGGAATGGAAAAGTTGCTACCACGTTGGCAGAAATATATTGATAGTAGTGGAGACTATTTTGATTAAATAAAACAGTTGTAAATTTACATACCTGTTCTCAATTTACATACATGATCAATCGACCAATCTGATTAAATGGATTAAAAACAAAAACCTTAACTAAAAAAAAAAAGATTGACTGAGTAAAATAAAAAATTTGTTGGGAGAACAAAACAACCAATCATAAAAAGAAAAAGAAATTGACTTTACACAAAACATCTTTAATTTTATGGTTTTATAGTAACAGTTTTTTGTACAAAATATGGCATATTTTAAACTATTTCAGAAAATTTACAGTAGTTCAGTTAAACAATATTTTAGTTTATTATCTCTTTGGTATAAATGTATACTAGATTTTTCTTCAATCAGATCTACATAAGGCAACATGTTATCCATGGAAAAACAGTCTTCTCTTAAATCTGTTCTGATATACTCATACATTTTTTGTTTTCATAACCGGAACAATATTTTTTTTTAATTTATTTTAATTTAATATTTTTTGGAAATATATTCAACAACAATGTCATGATCTATATCCGCTTAATTTTTTTTTTCAGGATTGAGTAATATCAGACCTATATGAGAAATGGAACCAGATTTCGAGTATAATTTTTTTGAAAAACTGTAATAGCTGGGTGAACAGTACTGATTCCTCTCATTCGAATGATTCCCACTTATTAGCCATTTTCTTTTACACAAATAATATTTAAGATTAGGGTATTATTTACAGTCATTATAAATATATTTTAGTGAAAAACATTTTAGCATATTGGAGTAAATTTAAAAGAAGACCATTTTTCCCCACGGACAACTCTATTTGTATAAAAATTGTGCTGAGTAAAACCAGAAAACCACAAGAAAATAAAAATAAAAATATTGTTTTCCATATAAATTTTGGATGTTAGTCAGTTAATCAGATGGAGTTATCTTATATAATCATAAGATGTTTAAAACAGACATCCACAAACTAAAGTTAACAAGAGTGGAACTGTGAGCCATACCTATTCATTCATGATATAACGATAAAAAAAAGATAATAAAATTAAATGAAATTAAAATAATGCTAGAACTATAAATCCTTTAACCCTCCATAATTTTCCTAGACTTGCTCCATCTCCTTGCCTTAAAGCATTATATGAAATATTATTTATGTATTCTATTTAGTTTTGATATTTTTTCTCTGTCCCTCCCATGCAATTCCACTTTATTATTCCCATAATTCATTTTTTTAGCACAAAAGAACTCAGTACCTTGAGAGATAGGTTACAATGTTAGAACACATAAACAGTTAAAAATTATTTAACTTGTGTTTTATTTCTGATTCCACCTCAAACTACCCTCTCTTGAATTTCCTCAGCAGTCAACAACAAAACAAGTACAGAATTTACTGCATTAATTCTATAATAATTCTGTTTTAATAATTAATAATGACTTACCCATCTTAGTTGATTGTCGCTAGTTAACTTTCTCCAAAAATCGCCAAAGTTATTATATATATCTTGAACTTTCTGACCTATGATTAAATTTTCCAAAGCCTTTATTGCACAAATAACTAAAAAAAAAATATATAAATTATAACTTCAAATAGAGAAATCTGTTATATGGTTAATTTAAAGAAACTAACCAACTTCAGTCCCTCTCCCGAGAGTAAATGTCATTCCATGGGCTTTTTGTCCAGTATTTGTTTCAAGAATAACATATGCACATGAATAATCGGGATGTGTATGCTGAAACAGAGAACAAACCATGAATTTAATAATATATTAAATCCCAATAGTTCCTGTACAACTAACAAACCATGAAGAGTCTTGGGTTCGGTAAAATGTGGGGAAGTACTGTTACAAGGCCAATGGTTGTGCAGGGAAGTGATCGGGCCGAGATCACGTTCAACTGCCAGGTTTTCCCCCTTAATTAATTATTTAATTAAGTTTCGAGTTTATTAGTTAAGTTCAATTTAATTAAGTTCCAAATTAAAATGACACATTACAAATAATAATGCAGTATGGAGATCGGTAAGAAGCAGTCCAAAAAAAAATATGAAAAATGTGTGAGATATTAAAGAAATAGTTTTTAGTTGATCTTGTAAAGATACTGATTTTGCATAAATAAGATATTGGCAGTTTGCCATCGATATATATATTTATATATATATCGATTTATATATAAATTCCAATTCCATAGCATAACCATTGCATTTCCTTACACTTATAATTTAAATATTAGCTTTTTCCTTCATTAAATTATCATAAATTAACAAAAGCTTCTAAACATTGCTTTAAATATCTTATGACAGCTAAAGACAAAAGGCTCAAATTCTCTGGGAGAAATAGTTCATCCAATCAAGATGTATGTTACTTAATCATAAAAAAAAAAATTGAAAGTTTGTTTTTAAAATGATAAACTTCAATAATAAAGATTTAAAAGTAAAATCTAATGTAATTGAAGGACATTGACAAACATTCCAAAATATTTTTAAAGGAAGACAAATGTAATAAAAATAAAATTCATAATTTTATTAATTAAAAATAATAAAATGTTTTTAAATTTAAAAAAATAATTCTGATACATTATAAACTGTCCCTCATAGAAAAAGGGCCAATTCCAAAAATCTTAAATTCCCTATGAAACAGAATTATTGTAGTACAACAGATATTAAATGTTCAGAATGCTATAACTCTGCACCAAATCATAGGATTTCGGAGATTTTTTTTTTTAAGGTTTTGTAGGGAATTTAGTGAGTTTTCAAATACTTATATTTATGATGTACCATAAATTGCGTACTTTTCACTTCGTGTAGTTTATGTGTTCCTAAATTCCTGATAAATTTATTGTAGCTCATCATTTTGAAGTTAAAATTTTTTTTGTGATTTTCAAAAAAAAAAAAAAAATCAAAGAAGGAACATTGGCTCAGATTTCGTGAACATTTTTTAATTTTGGTGGTTCTTTGAGATGGGAAATACATTTCTCAACTTGGTTTCTCCTTAAAAAAATATTTGAACCCAATTTGCTAATATTGGTTCAGTACAAATTGTTCCATTTCAACATTTTAATCTTACTATAACTATATACCAAACATAAATTTGGTGTAATAGAACTCACATGAGTAATATCAACCGAAAATAAGAATAAAAAAAAATTATAAAAGAAACTATGCAGTGAAAATATTTTATTGGACATAACTGTTATCGATTTCGATCATTTTTTTACGGTTTGTAGGAAATTTAGTAAGCTTTCAAATACTCATAAGTTTAATCTACTAAAAATTGCGTACTTTTCGAGTTATTCACAAATTATGAATTGATTTATAAAATCTTGATTCGTTGAAGCAGCACCATTTTTTGGTTTGAAACCTCCCACTTTTACATTCACTTTTATTTAAGCTTAGTAGAAAATTAGGTATCAAATTTACGTTTCGCGCATTTTACGTGATATTTCCATTCTACTGATAACTCATTCGTCAAAATCCGTCATCGAGAGCTGCAAAAGGAATATATATTTGAGAAATAATATATAAGATGTCTCTAAAATTATAATACTATGATTAAAATTTTAATACCGAAGAATTTGAGCAATCAGGTTTACCCCAAATACTAGTCATATAAAATTCTTAAAATATAATAAATGAAAAAAGTTACTTTTAAATTAATTATAATAAATTAATTTTGTTGTTTACCATAGCATCAGACCCATCACTGTTCAATGATGTTGGAAATCTTAGATCCTTTGTAAAAAGTTTTTCAATAATTACTCCTTCATACATTTTTATAGTTTTAAAATATTTATAAAACTAATTTATGAAAAACAAAAAACTTTTACTCAATACTTGAAGATCAACTGAAATCCCACTGATTTTATAGGTTATGCAATTTGGAACATAATCTTATCTTTTATGATTTACTTTGTTGAGTAGAAAACAATGAATTTTAAGATTTATTATTACAAACAGGAGTAAATAAATAACTTTATGTTAACTTATATAAGATATAAGAGTAATATTATTTCTAATGATTTCATGTTTTCAGTTCTTTAAACCAGCTTTATGTTGTTAAAACGTCATAGTTTTTAATGAATTCAAGAGAATTTGATAATAAATTTATTATGATACTAAGTAAGAAATATTTCTGGCAAAAATTTAATAACACTGCATTCTCAGGATAAGGTATAATTTATAACTGAAAAACTACTGAAGTCATTTTCATGTTATATAATTCATAACAGAATAAAATTAAAAATGGAAAATAATAAAATATGAGCACATTAATAAAAAAATAAATAGATATTTAAATAACTAAATAGACAAATAGTTCAATGTGTAATAAGTATGAATAATAAGCTAGATTGGATATACAATGTATTGTGTTAATTATTAAATATTTACCACTTAATTTCTAAAGGTGTGTTTAGACATTTCACAAACTATGTGACAAACAAATATATAAATGGTTATTTCACTAGGCTAGTATTTTTGTTTTTGATATTTTTCAACTGCTGTAGATATCAAGAGAAATAAAATAAATATTCTCGTTTAGCAATAATGTCACTATTAATTAAGTTAGATAAATGTGTTTCTCATAGTTTGTGAAATGTCTAGGCTCACCTTCAAGTACTAAAAAATACATAAAAATATGAATTAGAAGACTTATTAACATTCATTGCTTTATTTTTGTAACCATCTTGCTAGAATTAGAGATTATTTCAGTGGTTAAATAACAAAACATAAAGCAATTTTCTAATGTAAAATAAAGTAGGAAGGATAAGTTAATTTTTAAATAATTAACATTTTTTTGTGAACTAAATATGTTTAAATTGTGTGCGTACAGGGAAAAACTTTGCAATTTTGTAAGTTTTTTTGGAAACCAATGATTCCTGTTATAATAATATGAAAACCCAGTTACTATCGGTAAACAGATTGAATCTATATCTGTGGTGATCATACAATGCACTAGCGGATCCAGAATTTCAGTTTTTGGAGGAGCTTGTGTCCGAAAGCTTTATTTTTTTAAACTATAACGATAATTACTTTGGAAGACAAATAAAACACTTACTACCTATACGAAATGGTGTTTAAGTAATACTTGAAGTCCTATTAAATGTAATTGCACGAACAATAATACTTGTTTGATCACGGTAATTTGGTGTGAGCCAAATATTACCCATTGATCTGTAATTGAGTTATATTGTGCTGGTGGTGGTGAGAATTAGTGTGGACTGTATGAGGTTGGATCACTGAAATTTGATACATGAACAAATTAAACAAAAGATTGAGAACACGATTATATTGCATATAATTGAATAAAACAAAACAAATAAAATTTCTGCCTTTGTACAATTTTGTGATTCTTGACCTATGAAGTATATATTACTGATTGTGAAATTACAATTTTTGGTATGGCCTTGTAATGTCAGAAGTGAATTTGCTTTGGTTGAAATTGAATAGTCAATTTGGACTCACTTGTTGTCTGAAATTGAGCTTCATGGTTTTGGCCACCTCCTCTTCCTCTCCATTCTTTCTCCACCAAGCTGTTATCTTGAGTTTAGCAACTCATTTTCTTTCTTTCTTTGTGGTTTCTGAAGAAAATTAACTGTCAGTGTGCACACATCACCAATGAATAGGATTAACTCAACAGGAATAGTTTTCAGCAAAATGGTGGTGAAGTTCTGAATTGTTTTCATTTGTTGTGTTTTTGTATTCCAGGGGTTGATCTCTGAACAATACTTTTAGAGTTCATGTTTTTTTTTGCACTTTAATTTATTTATCCGCACCTGTCAATTACAACTGCTGTATTGCACCTAAAATCCATATCCTACCTACCTACATGAAGTAAAATGTATCCATTGCTTGCAAAAATATTAAATATCGAAGAATAGAGTAGAATTTAAACAAATAGACTGAAATAACTTTTAGGTAATGCTAAAATTAAACACAGCGAACACTAGAAGTAGTGCGATAATAAACAATATTAAATAGTGCAGCCAGCAATAGAACTAGAAAGTGATTGGAATTACCAGATACATATATAAGGCCTTTAATTTTAGGTGATATATTAAAATTATAGTAATAAGCATAATCCTAATAATATGTAAAGTATAAGTTTTAAAGTATTAAAACAAAAGTATATAATATTCTTAATGTTCGATTCTATTTAATTATTATTTATTCTATTAAAAGAAGCTATAGATTTTGATTTCCATTAATGAAATTAATTTTAATTATTCTGTTATTTTTATACTGAATTTGAATTAATTTTGGATTATCTATCGCATAAATAACATTGAAATTAATATTTATTAATTGGAAAACATGAAAGAACAATTTTGATAAAATTGAACTATTATTTGGTAAGTATATTGGACAAAGTTAGAAATAATGAATGAATTAGAAATCCGAGACGTGACGTTGCCATGGTATGTTTGTTATATAGTTAGGGTATGTTTTTTTAACAGACAGTGCAGAGCCCCTTTTCTGTCCTGTCGTACGATTTACGTGTCCAGTGTAACCACGGCCTTAGGCTCAACAAGAGGGCAGGAATTTTTATAATTTTAATCCATCTTTTGAAAATGTGACTAAACTTTTACTTTATTTGTTTGACATATCTGTATGTCATAATCTTAATTCCAAAACCTAATGAATCTTTTTTAAAAAAACCTGTACCACTACAACCCATAAAGGGTCTGGGGTTCAGTACTATTTAGGGAAAGCACTGTTTCTAGGTCCACTGTTGTGCAAGGAGGTGATTTGACCGAGATCACGCTCAACCGCCAGGTTTTCCCCCCTAATTAATTATATAATTAAGGGTACCCACTTTATAGAGGCTGGGTGTGCCCCAGGAGGGACTCCTGACCCAAGGTCGCCCCACGGCCAATGAAACAGATAAATAAATTTTCTGCCATGAGCCGGGGTTCGAACTTGGGGCCTTTGCATTGGAAGCTCAGTGCCCTACCACTGAGCTACCCCGCTCCCTAATCTTTTTTAAATGAATCTTAAAATTTTATAATTATATTTTGGTAGTTTTAGGTACTGTAATGAGTTTAGAACACATTCTTTAGTTTTCAATGCTAACAACAGATAGTAAATGCATTGAAGTTTTGTTCAAAATTTTTACTAAAAAAAAAAGTTAGATAACATTTCTTTCTATGATTTTTATATTTCATTATTAATAACTATTGGTTTAAATTTAAAGATTGCTATATCAACAGCCATGCTACAAATAATTCAAATATTAGATTTATACACATTTTACAAAAACTAAGAAATTAGAACACGGAATAATTTAAAGTAAATGACGGAAAGGGTTTACATTAGATTTGAAAACTTCTCTAAAAATGTTGACCTTTTACAGTTCCCTGGGCCTATTACAATAATTTAATAAATAATAATATCACAATGGGGAGTCAAGGTATCAGAGAATAGTTAGCCAAACAAATAATTTATTTAATGTAAAATTAACTTCCAGAAAAAATCAATACAGCTTTATGTATTCAATTTTATCTGCATGCATCTCCTCAGAAGATGGTGATGGAGATGCATTAATATAGATTTAAGTAGGAGAATGGAATTGCACAATACAGACACATCTAATTCAGACTCTACTAACATCAACTTAAAACTGCATGAAGAGGCCTTTAAGAAGAAAAGAATATGACGATGGCAATGAAATAATTAAGTGTTAGATGGGAGATATATTCAAAAGGAAATACTTTTTAGGGTAATGTTACAATTAAGGTCTTCACTATCTTAAAATTGACAAGTATAAAATCATTTATTTTAAAATAAAATTTAAATTATGTTCAGTTTCAGGAAAGAGGTATAGGATGACGGTTAAATAAAAAATAAAACAAAAATTAATGCATTTATACAATTTTGGTGTATTTTAATTCATATACACATATCATTATCTATAAAAAGGCTATGTGATATAGAATAAAAATATTACTAATAAACCCCATCTATAAATATAATGTGCCTATCAAATAATTTTAAATTAAAAAAAAAGTTACTTAAAATTAAATTAAACTTTGGCTTAAGACAAAAGTTGTAAAATAATGGGAATGTTTACATGAACGTTCCTCATAAATTATAACTATAATGATACAATAAATAAATAATACTCTACGTAATGAGATAAAAAATCATAACAAATATACAATAAATACATTTAAATAATAAAATCTACTATAGCTTTAAAAGATCAATTTAATTTTTCAAAACCATTAAAAATAAAACAAACAAAAAATTAATTTATATGCTAAACATATTCGGTGATCCTAGAGACTCACCCCAAACCATAGCCATTTATTTGGTAAAAAAAATTGGAGCTTCAATTCATTTTACATTAGCATTGAATAATTTATTAAAAAAAAAAAAAAAAAAAAAAAAAAATAACAAAATCATGGTAAATTTGAGAAGACATCACAGATTTCATACAGTTTAAGATTAAAACTATCCAACAAATATAAAATTACTTAATGCCATCAGCATAAAATACTAACTATCCAGAATGTGCATTGCAAATATAACATATATCAGATAAGCTTCTAAAAAATAATAAAAAATTGACAAACATTGAAAATTAAAATAATTTTATAGAACAGAAATATAAAAGAACGCTATTTAAAAAAAAATCAGCAAAAATGAATAACTATCAATACATTTAGAAATTTAATTTTGATTGACATGTCTCCAGTTAATATTTTAAACTAATTTAGTAAAAAAAAATTATAATTAGATCATTATCACTAGAAGAATCATCTCACTCCTTTTAGTGCTTGTATTCAATATTAATTTTAATTTAATTTTTCAGTCTTCAAAAGTTAAATACTAGTTGGGCAAATCAGGCAATATTCACTGAGGTCCAACATTGCTTTTCTATTATTGATAATACATGTGAATTTAGAATTTGTCATGCCTTTATAAAATACTAAACTAACAGCTAATATACAGTAATGCAATGATTAATTATCTTAAGAATAAAAGAGAAACTAATCATAACAATACGGAATGAGCAAATTCACGAACAAATTTCCTTTCTTGACAACAGTGAGTGTAGTTTAACCCAATTTAAACATTAAAGGTATATTAATAAATTGTTTACTGTTTACCAAACATGTTGGCAATTGGTACTGACTAAACTGAAAAAACTAAATGAGCAAATTCTTATTTATTATGCTTAGACAATAAATACAATGCTTTCAGATTAGTATGTCACTCAAAAAGATGTAGATTTGTTCAAGTCCATTACCATTTATTTAACATAAAATCTATAAGACAGCAGTAAAACATGCCAATGAAAAAAATGACTCATAAATACTATTTTTTAACCCCTTCAAAATAAATATTTGAGGGTTATTAATCAAAAGTAAAAATATAACAGCACTAAAATATAAAATAGCCAAAAACAAGGAAAAAAAGTTCATGAATAAGCCTAAAGTTTCTTTATCCTAGAATTTCCAATGAATTAATTTGAATAATAGCATTTTTTCATAAATATTGCAATAAAGATATTCTGTTTACCACTAATACTAAGCAAATACTTCATAAATATATTAAGAAATATGTTAGTAGCACATACAATAGTATATTTTTTCAAGTTTCAGTGTATTCACACAGACACACTTTTTAACTAAATCAAAATTTATTTATTTATTATAAAGAAAAAATACCAAGTTTTCTACTGGAAAATATTTGCCAAATGCAAATTTTTGGCACTTTTTTAAGTCCACTGTTTACAACTTATAAAGAAGAAGATAAATTGGAAAGATTTTTTTGTTTTAAATTTAAATATATATTATATTAATATAAAAACATTATACTTCATCTGTAATACATTCACTATCGAATAAACTATAATATTGTTAAAAAATAACAGTAGAATTTAATGTACATAAAAACATAACAATAGTAGACCTTTTAAACTGATTCTGCGGGACTCTGAAATTCAGATAGAGCCTTGATAGGGTTCTGTATTTTCTTCTGTGACCCTTTTCTCACTTTTGCTTTAACTTCTTCAGGTTTTTCTGGTCTGACAAGAGGTTTCTTTTCGGGGGCTTTCATTTTCCAAACAACAATTGGAGACTGAAAAGTAAGAATAGATATATGAATAAGCCATGTCTGACTAACTTATAAGCGTTAAATGGCATTATAAATACCATATCAATAAACATCCACTTATTTTTTAACCATGATGTTGAAAATTAATAACTTTATTAGTCTAAATATTATCTAGTTAAAAAATTAATATACTATAACATTTAAAATACTAATAAATATAAAATTTAACTACAGATGGGCAATAAGTGTTAAAACAAGATTACTGATAAAAATAATTTATGGAAAATGATATAATGTACAAGGAATATATTGATAAATACAGGTATTTCTAGATTATTAAATAGTGCTCAGAGACGGTGCAGGAGACCATATAAACTATCGAAAAGGATAGGAATACCGTTACCAGATGTGAGTAATAAATAATAGCTAAAATAGTGAAAACTATGTTAACTGAATTCAAATATTGGACTATTTGGACGATCCTAAACATGAAATAAATAAATCCAGAATGGTATCCTTAACCAATCTAGTAAGAAACACTAACAGTCAATGATAATAAAGATGGAACTAAAAGAAAAGTTAAGATGTTTCTGTTGTTCAGGATTGTCAAAAAGTTCAGTCACATAGCTAGTGTGTCTACAAGAGTCCCTGACTTTTCTTTAACTCAAATAAAACTCTTTGCCTCTCCTTCAGAATGAAGAAACGAAAAAAAAAAAGGTAAAATGTTTTGCCAAAATGTTCAAAAATATTTATTAATAGTTAATTATAACAAAAGTTACAAGTCTAAACAAAGTTCAGTATGGTCCAAGTATTATAAAATCAATTTTAAAAAACATGATTTATTTACTGCATTAAATCTTTCTCAAAATGTGAGGTGACAAAATGAAGGCAAGAAAAAGACATTTAAAGCATATAAGTAGGACTTATTCATTGTTTCTAATTATGCAATCTGTTAATTGATAATTTAAATAATATTTGCTCCACTTTAGAACAATGCTTTGAGCTCTAAATTGAAACATTTAATTTTATTTTTATATATAAAATGAAACAGTTATCATGATATCCATGGAATCAGGAAAGGGAAAAAATAAAAGTAAACCAAGAGCCTAGAATACATTTCACTTATCACATGCCCTCGTAACAAACAGCTGTAAGTATGTTTTCTTATTTTTAAACTGCTTTGACTATTGTTGTTGTCCAGAATACAAAAGATGACTGGTTAACTTCCTTAATATTCCTTCGCACTGATAGTATATACGTAATTTCTTTTTCATCCCTAGGCGTCAACATTATTATTATCTTATGTTTCTTTATCAATGTTTTGAATATTACATTTCAACCAACTGAGTTTTAAAAACTCTTGATATTTTTAAAACCACAGTATTTTATTTAAGATTAATATATTTTTAGATTATCAGTCGAAGTGACTTAAAAACAAAACGCAAAGTTTCAGTTCTTTGTTTACGACACTTCACCCTTACTTTGTAAAGACATATTAATACTAACCAGTACTAAATTAAACACGACACAGGAACACATACCTATTTTATATTAATTGTATTCTAAAGTGTTCTTTTAAAATAAAACAATTATTTTTGTCAAACATGCAATGCTGATTCAATAATAATGACAAAAATCATCAGACAGAGTATAATCACTAATTAAAGGTATACCTAACGATCAAATCATTTGCAAATCTCCATCGAACCACTCTTTCATCAGAAAGATGAAAAACTTGAATCTGTCATAAAAAGAAGAGTACAAAGAAATTAATTAAGATACAAATTTAGAACATTTATTAGTAGGAACCTAAATTCAATATGCAAAAAAATATACCTTATCCATAATAGAAATAAAGCTGCAAAATCAATGAAGTGATGAAACTATTAGGTGAATTTGATGATTTAAAAAAAAAAAATCTATAAATATGAATAAAAAGAGGTTTTTACTTATGAAAATCAAACTACAAATTACAGGACAAATAAATCTTGTAAAGTGTATAAACCTCGGTGCAAGAGGTCAAGAAAGTTCAACAAAGGGGAAAAAATGAAATTGGAGATTAAGAAACAACTGAATTAACATGCTGATATGTAAGAGCGACTGACCTGACAAAGTGATTTTTGGTTGAATTAAATTATTAAATTTACTCTTAAGAAGGTAAAAATATTGTCCCAAAAAATTTTCTCTGTCTAATACTGCAAGCACCCTATCCCCAAAAATAATTTGGATGATACGTGCGCTGAAATAGTTAACAAAAAATTGATGTCAGGGACAGGTAGGTTACAATAATAAGTCTTTTTACCCTACAGTATTAGATGTTATCGAAGAAAAAAGAGTTTTTTTTTGTTTTTATTAGACAACATATCACCATTTTGATTACCCAGCTATATAAAAATATAATACAAGTTTTATGCAATATAAATCAAAAACTTCCTCAAGTTGAATAATAACAAAGAAATAAATTTTTAAAAAATCTGAGCTTAAGTTTATCAGAACAAAAATACAGTAGAGCATCTATAAAACATATGTTTCAAAATCTTTTACATATTAACTATAAAATTAAACTATTTAATCTTTGGAAGTTTATAGAAAGTCAGTTGAATTTTTTAAAAAATATATAAACAACAACCCATGATAAGTTAAGAGTTCAAATACTTAGGGCCAGTTACTCCAGCACAGTAAAGCTTAGATTAAGCGTAATCCAAAATTAGACCAAGTTTCACCACTCATAGCTCAAACAAAGATCAGGTTCGCAATCAAGTTTAATCTCGATCGGTCGACCATGGGAGCTTGAGCTTTACTTTGCAGAAAAAACTTAGTTACCTTAGGTTAGCCTTGGCAAATATAGTAATCTCCCAGTGTTTTTGCTATTTTGTTTGCGTTAATCATTTTAATTTATCTTTTCTCTTTCAAAAATGTATATGCTAGGTTTTGATGACCTCAAAGATAACTAGGATTTCCTCAATTTAATTGCATTTTTACTAATGGAGAAAAAAGCATAGCATTCTCGGATGAATCATTTTCTCAATTGGTCTCATGACGAATTTGTTGATAGATTTAGATAGATATTTTTTGATAACTAACACTAATCAACTCTAAATTATTTAACTTTGACTTTCATTAAAAGTAAACAAACACTTGATGTTGAGAAGTTCACACAACAAAGAACTCTAGAAAAACCTATTAGTAACATCTTACTTCCTTTATACATCTCGGTTTAGACATAGCTTTTTGTCAACGACCGAAAGTGGTGATAACAAAGCTGAGCTCTTACTGGTAGATTAAGCTCAGATAACTAAATCTTGGTTAAAACTTACATAAAATAGAATTGTGCAACTGGCCTTTAGTAAAACTATACTATTTTCTTGTCCAATGTGTATACATGGTGATGTTGGTATCCATGTATAATAACCAGGTTTATTCCTGAACCAAAGGAAGGACCAGGTATCCACTTTATAGGGGCAAGGTCTGCCTCGATAGTTTTTAAACTCTAGAGTCGATCCACAGCATATATTATATATTTCAGAAGAAAATGTTTTTTTTTTTACAATAAGAATTAAATTAAGGGGTTGTGAGTCTGGCAACTTACCCACCACATCCCACTCTTTCAATAGATGTAATACACTACCAATTTTTTTTTTTTTTTTTTTTGTGAAAAAATTAGTATATGATTTACAATACCTTTCATTTTATTGACACTCTATTATACTTTTAAAAACTACTTTACTTTTAATTAAAAACATCAACTAATTAATGAGTTTGCTAATTAGCTTGTTAATATAAATTAAACACTACTACAGTTAATTGTTAATTAAACAATAAAAAAAATATATACACAATATTTACAAAAAACAACAAAAATTAATAAATATAATTAAGTTCTTATAATTTACATAATCTAAAAGCTTTTTTTTGTTTTTTGGTCTTAGATGTTTGATAACAATAAATTTTTGAGATAAAAAAAAAAGAAAAGTAAAACATTAAATATAAATACAAGTCTGATTCACGAATTCATTTAAAATAAAAATCTGTTTAAAATCTATGCTTGGTGTGGGGAGATAATCTGTGAGTTGAACTTTTTGAACTTTTATGGAAATTATAAATTTCAATAGCTCAGATGAAATAGACTTAGCGTCTACGTCTTGTTCACATTTTGGGGTGGGGTGGTCGAGCGGGTTAAGGTGTGTGCAAAACACGTATTCCCTAGCCATCTGATAAACAGAGATAGAACAAGATAAAATAATGACGAGTTCAGGTCCCGGTATCAGGGAGGCTTTTAACTCTGGCATTAATCTCCCGCCCTTACCTCTGGTCAGGGAAAAAACTATAAAGTCAAAAAAATTGTTCCCGTTTTATAGGGGATGGACAGAGCAAGCTGCGCATGCACAAAGATTAATACATTGATTTCATGAAAATAATTTCACTTATTTTATTGTTTCTCAGAATTAATTTTGCTTTTTTATGTTAAATTATTTATTCCCATTAATTAAAATCTTTAATCACTCAAATTTTAAATTTACGCAAAGTATACTACCAATCATCGTATTTTACTAAGTCAATTTTTATAAATTCATTAAAAAAATTAAGGAAATGTAATGCATACATAACCATATTATGTTATTGTTACATTATAAATAAGTTTATTGCCACACACACAAATATGCACCGATTGTTGAGATACTTAAAGGGGAAAAGCACACAACACAAAACTTATAAAATATTTGTGTTATGATGATAAAAAAAAAAAAATATACATATATATTATAAGGTTCTTGTCATAATAAAACCATATTTAAAAACGAACAATAAAAACATAATAGTTATTAAAGGACTAGTGACATAAAACAATTAAATTTCCCATTATTTTCATGCAATCTACCAGTGAAACGTTGTAGAGAACGGAAATCCTTTTGTTAACAGGAAAATAGAAAGAGCCGGTATCTCGGAAAAAACTCCCTTCCTCAGCAACTTCCTACATACAAAATAAATTTAATCCAAGTCTTATCTCTTAAAGGAAATATCTGCAACTACTTGTTTGTATTGTTTCTTGCCAGAGATTAGAAATAAAGCACTACTAAACATATTATTGATTATTATGAATAAAATTGTTATAACTACTAAGCTTAAAATTTAATGTTATTCGCTTGTAAATTAAATAAATCTCTATTTAAATAAAGAACTTGATAAAATAGCATTTCTGAACTAATAGTTGCATGAGGATAATAGTATTAAAAAACTACAGACAATAAAAGATTAATAAATAAATACATACATCTTTTCTAACTAGGCACATACATACATATATACTCACTTAAAAACATTGAATTTGTAGTACCAAAAAAACAAAACAATTATTATTTTTTAAATGAAAAGTGGAGGTTGAATATTAACTTCATGAAAACAGAGCACCTTGGGACTTCAACTGATGACACGCCAATTGAAAGAGGTATAAAATCTGTAGAGAAATTTAAATACCTAGGATCAATAATTAATAGTGAAGGCACATCCACCAATGATATCAATAGAAGAATTGGTGAAGGAAGAAAGGTCACAGCAATACTCAACAGTATCCTTTGGAGCTCGAATATACAGCCCATGCTTGAAAAGGCTACATTCGAGCCAATTACGACATAAGCCTTGGAGACTTGGGTCATCAAAAAATAAATTTAAATTAGCAATTTTATTTCAGTTTAAATCAATTTTTATGTAGAACTTCTTTGTAAACAATGTTCTTTGTGAATGTTCTGTTATTGTTCAGTAAGTAGCTTTGCCCATTGCCATTGGGAATATAAATTTCAAATTTTAAACAAGCTTGCTCTACTTGCTGCCACATATAATTGTTCATGCGAAAATACTGGACGTCACAATAATACTCAAATTTTTCCAAAAGTTTGACCCTGCGATTTATTTATGATCATAGCAAATGCAGCTATTACTGAGAACTATGTTCTTTAAAATTCGATTGCAAGTATTGTATCAGAAAATGTTAAATTAATTCTTGGAATTGAAATTCTTTTATTTACAGCAGCTCTCATTAGTACTTACTTAATCATAACATTAATTTGTTGTGATAATAATATATATAAATCCAAATGGAAATTAAATATTTTTGAAGGAGTCTATTTTGTATTACTTACAAATAATTTTAAGTAGTTTGAGCTCGATTTTCGATTAAAATTGAAATTTTGTTTATAAACTAGCTGTACCCGGCCACGCGTTGCTGTGGCTCATTCTGGTTAAGTAAAAAAAGAAGTAGAAAAGAAATTAGATGCTTCTAATATATTTTATGTAACAATAATTGTAAATGTGCGATATTCTTTGTTGTTTCATTCTTTGTATAGATATAGAGATTGTCTGGTTTTCCAACTCTAGAGCATAATATTAATATTAAGCAATCGGTCTTAAAATCCCCCACAAAAAAATCACTAAATGTTTAAAGCATTATATCTCTGCACTGAATCGTCCGACTTTAGTGATTTTGTTTTTATTTGCAGAGAATCAAAGAAGCTTTTAAAAATAATGTTGGGTATAATCAAACAAAAATTGTGTAATTACGGAGTTATTCACAAATATAGTTTTGAATCCATTATAACTTTTTTTTAATACTCTTTTCGGCGAAGGATGTTATATACATATATTAAAAGGACTTCAAGGAGAAGACTTTAGCCAAGTTTAATTAAAATAGTTACAGCCGTTTAGGCGCTACAGTCTATAGTCACCATTCCGAAACGAAAGACCAGAGGATGATTAAATGTATATAAAAAAACTCCTGAATGCGATAGAAACATGTCAATATTCAAAGCGATTGGTGAAGAAGTTTCGAAGATTAGCGGTTTTGAACAAACGAACATTTACGTTTTTATTAATATAGATGAGGATTTTTAAATCGTGATTTACTATTTTTTTTTATTGAATTCATTTTTTATTTGATTATGTTTTCCTCAAATTTTTAATGATTATGGTCGAATTTCGCCCACTGGGCAAACACTAGTTATTATGAATGTTTCAATCATTATCTTAAAACCTGCATATAATTCAATAAACTATTAGATTTAATTTGCCTTTCTTCATTTTACTCACATTTTATCTAAAGCAACAATGACATGTGACCAAACCCAAAATTCTAAGGTAATAAACAATTGAGAAAGAATATGAAGGCCTTTCAATAATTCTTCTTACATTGTTATACATCGGGCACTGCATCTTCATGCTTTACTGTCATTCTATTTGTTTAAAAAGAAGAGGAGAAATTCTTAGAAAATAATCATGGGAAGAGTGCAATTTATTTTCATGCGCTTGAGCTAAGAAAATTGTTTCTTGCTCATCATAGGGTCTTTCTATTCATTTCTATACAAACTTTCTATTCATACTTCCTTTTCTCGCTTAATTTTTTGTGAATTCAGATTATTGAGATTGTATATATATATATATATATTTTTTTTAAAGGAAGACCGAAAGGATTTCAAAGAGGAAACTGTACACCATCACAAAGACACAACAAAAGGGAAAGAATCAAAAATGAAAAAAATCTGGAAATGATGGAGGTGGAAAAAACATTATAGCAAATATTGAAAAGAAAAAGTTATGCTGGTTTGAACAAGTTAAAAGAATAACACCTGAAAGATTGCCAAAGATATGTATGCAGCTGGAAGTAACAGGGAGAAGGAAAAAGGGAAGACCAAGAGTAAAATGGAAAGAGACGGTGGAAGAAAGCCTGGTGGGTCATAGCGTCATAGAAGAACAAGCCTTAGATAGCGAAGAATGGAAAAATATCTTAAAGGATATTTAGGTCAAGGACAACCACAGTAGTGGAAAAGTCCTTAAAAAAATAATGTATATATATTTAAAGAATGTAAGATCATTTTAATATTTTTTAATTAATTACATCTGGAATGAAAGTAACAAAAATAAAATTCACATAGAAATGTAAACATTTGTAAATTTAAATTGATTTTTGCTCATAGTAAAAAATAATGGGTTATGGGAGACTATCAGGCTGATAGTGTTTGTCTTTTGAAGTTCAACATGCTGATAGCTACAAAATTGTCAATAAGGAGGCTAAATTGTATTTGAAACATTTTAATGTTTATACTTTTGTGAAACTCATATTCTCATGTTGTTTATTAAATTAATTTTACTCTGACCGACGGACAGAAGTTGTCAGTTTCATTAATAAAATGATAAATTAAAAATTGAATTTTTTGAACATACATTTTATGAGTTAAAACATACCAAATAATCAATTGTGTGTTTATTTTGTATAAACATAATGTGTTTGAGATTATTCAAACTTTTATTTTGATTATTCAGTGAACATTTGAACAAGGAATATATAAAGTGTGGAATTCTTTAGATTCCTTTGTTCATAGATAACCAAAACTCATAGAAGTCAGATCCACAAATATTGAGGGATTACTGTATTGACTTAAAGAATTCAAAATGGATTAAAACTAATGCAGGAAAGATTAGTTTTAATGAGCTTTTTTTAAAAATTCTACAAAAAGAAAAAGAAACAGAAAATCATTGAAACAACACTCTGATTTTAACCAATAATTATTCATATAATTAATGGAGAAAAAAATTAATTTTTCACAATTTTCGAGGCTCCTTCCCGAGGCTAAAACTAATATACCTTAGACAAAACCCTAATTATAATTAATATTTACAGAGTAAAATAATTTTTAAAATAATCAAAATAATAACACAACTTACTGATACTGTTCCTTGTCGTGGGTACTTCGTGCTAGCAACATAAGATGACTTTACGGTCAGTACAACCGCATTCATCAAGTTCTTGGCGGCTTGAATTAGAGATGTAGCACTGTCGAGCTGAAAAATAATTCTATCATGAAAAAAAGTACAAAGTATATAAAATTAAATTCTTTTCTCAATGACATAGGCTCATGATTTAATCAACACTAAACAGTTAAAAACCTTTAAGTATTTAAGTACTTAACCCAGAAAAATAAATGTGATTTTTTAAAAAAATCATTTTTTGACTATAAGAACATTGTGAAAACCTGAACATGCACTCCCTAAAATAATGTCAATATATTCACTCACCCCTGAAACTATTAGTTCACCACTTATATTCTGAACATCAGCCTTCACTTTCGAAGTGATGTTCAACTGATGACAGTACAGAGCGATTCGTTGAAGGTAGGCCAAAAGATCTTTTTTAGTAGATGATTCCGGGCACTGATCAGCTATCTGCCTGGTTAATTTATCCAGTTTGGTTCCAGCTTCAGAGATTTTCTTGGCAGCATTAATGACATCCATTGTTGTTTTCAACGGACCTCGACCTCTAAATAATAAAAATACAGAATGGTTATGTTAAGGATTTTATGGAAATAATTGAATCAAACAAATGTGAAACAAAAGCATATTACGATAGATATGGCAAATATTTTAAGCTCAGAGAAAAAACAGCTTAACTCGAAATGTATAAAATCTAGAGGAAAAAAAATATCTTTTTAAATTTTAACAAATATTAAACCTATGAGCAACTTTAACCTTTGGACTGACTGAAGGAGTTGTTGAGGTAGATAGCATGAACAGAAGGTCTCAACAGAACGTATTCAAATAAGAAAATGTGACTAAATGGATGAGGATTTTAACACACTTAAATCTGTTTTTTGCAACTATGTAGTGCCACTGCAAGTGAACTGGTTCTTCTTCCTCATAGTGAGAATTTTAGTCTTATTCTCCTTAATCTGAGGACCAATTCTTTCTTCAATCAACAAGCATAGTTAATATTTCCTTGATACTTTGTTAAAACCTCACTGCAATTACTCACGTTATCTTGTTCGAAATTGTTCCATGGGACACCAGTCCTACTACTTTTTCATAATAGCATTTATTGGGACTATATTAAACAGAAATGGGGAAAAGAGAATCCCCTAGTATCAATCTTGAGCTAAATGAGGACGAGTTTACAAATATTTACCAACCAGATCCTTTCATTAAAAACATTTAAGTCGGATTAGCTTAACTGAGATGACTATTTCTTTCATAACTTAGTATAATTCCAAAGTTATGAGTTATAAGCTGTTTTATAGTCTACAAAGATTAATTACTTACAACCATTAAACTTTTATTTAAGTGAAAATATCTGATTCCACATATGGAATGAGGTGGTTACACAATGCAATCAATAAAACTTCAAATCCCATATCTAATAAACTGGTTGTTGCATTGATAGATTCCCTCCATACTTGTGGGATTGACTCTGAGGTCCAAATTTGTTCTACTGTCCCGGTGATTACTTATTTTAGCTGCAGACCTCCTGCTTCCAGAAATTCTGCTGAGGAAACTATCTGATCCAGTGGATTTGTATTTTAAATTTATCCCGTCTTAATACGGGTTGAAAAAGCAGTAATCAACCTTATTAACAGTTGTAGTATTTCTGTATTGAATTCTGATAAGTTATGAATGTTTTAGTTAATGGCAGAAAAGAAATTTCTATAAAAACTAGCATTTAAGGCAATTTTTTTTTAAGCTCCCAGGGCAGGTGTATTGGAAAGAACTCTTAAACACTTGTCATATTTTTCGACTAAGTATCACAAAAATAGCTTCATTGATATCGACTATCCTACATGCATGACCTCTTCTTAAAAGTTGCTAAGATTTAGATGTACAATATTAGAAAAGAATATAAGTTCTAATAATAAGTTAATAGAAACCAATAACAATAAGGGATAGCCACTGACCTGGTGAAATCCGTCATTTCCATCATTATCATGCACATATGTTTTGCTAAAACAATAATGTCATTGCCCGTATCATCCCATTTGGCCACTTCTCTGTCGAACTTCAACTTCTCTGTTCTGAAATATTCCACCTGTTGAGCAATCTTCTGCTTATCCTCCTCTGTCATCTTACGCATGGCTTCCTTTAAAAGAAGCAGAAAATTAAAATAAAAAAGAAGAAAGCCTTCAATAACCAACATCAATCAAATAAAATACGAATTAATACATATAAAATTTAATGTAAAGTTGAGAAAGTTAAGTTTTTGACAATTCACTTACCCTTGCTGTAGTAATACCACTAATTTCTGGATACTCATCAACACCATGATCAGTATGTGCACTAGCTGTTAACATACATTAATCAAATTTCATATTTTAGTTATATGAGAAAACAGACAATAACATTAAAATAAACACTATATAGTGGATATTTATATATACAGGGTGTCCCGTAAGTAGAGGGGTCCGGTCATCTTAAAGTAACTGAGTTTTCTGCAAATATGACTACAACTGACTGTTACAAAGCTTTTATTTCTTGTTTTTCCGTAATATGAGATGTATAAATATAATTACCTAAAAACACATTTTACTTAAAAAAAAAAATATACAAATTGCAATTTTTTAAAAATATTTTTTATGTAAAATGGTTATGAAATGAAGTTTTTCTCCCATATTTCCGTCATAGGAATTAATATATACTTATCAGTGACAAATTAAAATGTTTCTTACTAAAATTTATGTTTAGAATAAAAAAAAAAAACCCTACTGATTCTTTTAGTTATTTTCATTAAAATGTAAATCATAACCAATTTACATTAAAAATATTTAAAAAGTTGTTATTTTTAAATTTTTTATATTTATAAATAAAATGTGTTTTTAGGCAATTATGTTTATTATAATACATCCCATATAATGGAAAAACAATAAATAAAAGCTTTGCCACAGTTAATTGTAGTCATTTTTGCTAAAAAAAAGCGTACTTAAAGGTGACCCGATAGAGGTGGACAAGGACAAGAAATCACATCATTTCTTTACACAATTTGAGGTGAATCTCAACATTTTTCCTGATAAACCTCAACTTAATAAATATGGACTTACAGCTTATTAAACAAGGAATTTCTACTAAAATCGAGGTGAATGAAGCACAGTTAAAGGGAGATAAAAAAATATCACAAATAATTTATGACTTTTTTAAACAGAATTTAGCTGTGTTTGTCCGCCCAATAGTCCTCTTCAAATAGTTTTAACAATGACAAACTCCAGTTTCCTTTAAAGTAAATTTTGTCTCCTTTACTATGGAGCAATGTTTAGTTACTTAAATCAAATATTTTTTAAGTTATCGCTGCCTAATCAACAAAAAACGTGACTCGCTTAAAAACACACAAATCTTAAATTTTTTACTTTTCTGCTAGAAATTGGGCAATTGTTTATATGAACTTTTTTTTAGATCTTGATGTGTGCTATCAACCTTTTAAATATTCTCCTCTACTTATGGGACATCCTGTATATATAACTGATCCTGAAGAATACACTTAGAATTATTTGAGTTTTCTGAAGATTTATTAATAACTAGGCTAAAAGTTGGTCTAAGAGTTTCTTCTTAAAAAGAAATAAAAACATTTTTTTACACAAAAGAAAAAACATGCAGAAAATAATTATGATTATTACATCATTTTTTCTTTGTCAAATTCAATAAAAAAAAACACATGGTTAGTGATATATTAAAATAAAATAAATACTACAAGCCATAGATAATAAATCTATGGTGTTGATGATATTGTACTGATTTATATACAGTGACACAAGACTTATCAACCAATTGCTATCTTAAGTTTGATTACTTTATGCAGAATTAATCAAATAGTCTGAAATAAGAGCAGCATAAACTTCACAAATAAAATGGTAATGAAACTAAGAATTTCAAATAGGTGCTAGGTCTTAATAGAAGAAAAGATATAGTAACTGTTAAGACAAAGATCTTAATGTAAAGGATAAAATAGACTATAGTGTAAAAATTATGCTAAAATCAACACTTAATATAAAGCCATTGTCAATACCTGATATGGAATAAATTTAAATAAAAACAGTTATTATTATGAAAGATACTAAAAAAGAAATAACACCCTCACACAATTCAACTGAAATGGAATAAAAATTGTCTTACGTCTAGTCTTCGTATCAATAGTCATGTTGTCCTCACATGGTTCGAATTCCGTGTCAGTGTCTAAATCTTCAGAGCTCTGAAATACAAATGGCATATCTAATATTATTTAAAGATCAGATAAGAGGCTTACATTTGCTGCGAGTATCGAACGTGTAGTGTTCGTCTAACTCGACTTCTTCCGGATCAAGTTCCTCATCCGTCTGAAGAGAAAGGTTAGCAATGAAAATAGAGAAAGGGTTATTATCAGAAAAGAAGAAAGAAAAGAAAATTAAATATTCCAACATATTAAACACCTTTAAAAAAAAATAGAGGTACTTCTACAACAGATATTAAAAGTTAATTTTGATGTAATTAATTCACACTAAAATCAGCTCAAACATAAACAATATTTATGAATGAAATATAAATAAATTAAAAAAAGTTAATGTTTTTGACATTAATATGAGCAAAAAGTAACTTAAAAGCATTTAATAACAGTTTATAATTGTAAATGCTCGCCCAGGACAGAGGAGAGTGGAGGATTATAAGAGAGTCCCAGGTTCTTGCAGGATAGTAGTGCCAAAAATAAATAAATGAAGATGATATAATTATCATTTGGTTATATAATAAAATAAAGGGAATAAATACATTCCCACTAGTTCACTAGTATAGGTAAGTATTCTATGGACCTATTCTCACTGAGAAAAATGTAAGGCAAATGGGGAGTTTTGTGCATAAAGGAAAAAATAAAATAAAAAGCTTACAATGAGAAATAAAATGTTAGATCAACTTCTGCTAATAAAAATGGTTTATAGAATTGTTAAAAATGTATGACAGCAGTGATGAAAAGAAGACTTGAATAAAATGGAGGCATATTTATTTAAGGCAGCATATTATTTATTTACATTTAATTTAGAAATAAAGCAATTTATTTGGATCTAAAAATTTATGGTGAGCATTACTATATAATAGCACAAGTCACAATTTTATATTGCTTAAACATCAACAATTGATATTAAAAATAATTATGGCCATAAAAATAATCTTTACAAATTTATCTTTTGGAGATCAAGGAATGAATTTTTAAACTTAATACTAAGTTCATCATGAAGAATACTAGAGTGCAGAATAATTGAAATTTATAATTTAAGCTGATTTAAATAAACAATATACAACTCAATACTAACTACAAAGTACTTTAAGGCTTTCCTTCTGGTGAATTAAGGAGGAAAACATTAAATAAGCAACTTTATTAATCCTTTCCCCTCGCAGAGATTTCAACAATTGAATCTTAATTAAATCAAAAATATTCCAGAAATAAAAACATTTAATATTCAAAAATGGCAGAAATTATAAATAAAAGATAAAATGTAGTGGTATAATAAAATTGAAACTAACTCTTAATACAAAAATTCTGCAAATTTACTGCAATCTATTTTGTAATATAGAAAACAGAAATAGAGTGCGAAGGATCATAAACCACACAAAGCAGGAGGAAAATTTGGATACATAAGAACAATTTAATGATTAAAAGTGCTTAGCACATTACGCAAGTAATTACAAGGTTTTTCAATTTCTAGTATACTTGAAAATACAATAGCATGCAACAAATCAAACAAGGATTTGAAAGTATCATATAGTAATATAATTCAATGAGAAAAATAACAAACAATATAGTATACTTAACACAATCCTGCCATCCTGACCAAGGATTATCCCTTTTTATCTTATGTGACCATTTAGTTGTTGCAATACTCTGATCTCTTTAATTATAATTGTAGTAAACTGGTCACATTACATGAGGTATAGCAGGTCATTTGAACATTGAATGATATTGAAAATGGAATAGTCCTATTTAAAACGTGCATAAAACTTGATCTTTTTGGAATAAAAGCTTCCAACATGGGCTATATTAGATGTTTCAGACCAAAAGATAATCAAAATCACCTGACCAATGATAATATAGGACAATTCATCGTATCTATCCATCTGGTTTTTGGCCGCCCACATGGTCTCTTGCCTACTACTCTGGCATTCAGTGTTGTGTAAAGGCGTCCTGATGGATTGCTATGAACTACATGCCCTGCCCATCTTAACCTCTATGCCTTCATGCCATGAGATATTGACTGACCCGTTTCTTTCAGCAGTTTTTTATTGTTCCTTCTCCTCCATGTGTCAAGGTTTTGGTCCCATATAGGTCCTGTTATCCTACGTAGAACTTTTCTTTCAAATCTCAATTCTGGTTTCTAGTGTGGCGGTTAAGAGTCCAGGTTTCACAACCGTAAAGAAGAACTGGCTTAACCACGGTGTTGTACACCCTTATTTTTAGATTTCTGGCTTTCAGTACCCTTGAAAGAGAGAAGAAAGATCTGTTCGCACTTGTTATTTGCTGGTCTATCTCTGTTACTGTTAGTTGATCATTTATTGAGGTTATTGTGGAGCTGAGGTATTTGGATCTATCTACTTTCGAGAATGACTTAGAGTCCACGCAGAACATGTTATTAGGGTGGATGTTTCGGTTAACTATCATGTATTTTGTTTTATCTACATTGACTTGCAGTCTGATTTGCTCTGCTTCTTTTAATAGAGTCCGAGTGAGTCTCTCAATATCCTCTTGATTACTTCTGAGGACAGCTATATTATCCACATATGCTAGAATTTTGTGTTTTATTCCAACGTGCAACCCTCCCCTCCATCTTCGCGTGATGTTGTTCTTATTACTTTCTCTAGTGCTAAGTTGAACAGTATCAGCGAGAGTCAATCTCCCTGCCTCAAAACTGTTCGAACTTCAAAGGCTTCAGATACTTCTCCTTGTATTAGTACCCTACATTTAGGATCATTTGTACACGCCTTCATCAACCTCACTAACTCCCCGGGAACACCCAGCTCAGTCATGATCTTCCAGAGACAGTTTCTGTCCACAGAGTCATAGGCTGCTTTGAAGTCGATAAATAATGCATGTACGTACTGATCTACTTCCCATCGTTTTTCAAGTACTTGTTTTATTATCCCTTTACTGATGAATATCTGATCTAGCATACTCTTCCCTCTCCTGAATCCCGTTTGATGGTCACCTATTATGTTTTCATAATACGGATATATCCAATTTAGCAGAATATTAGTCATTATTTTATAGGCGACCGGAAGAAGTGCTATGCCTCTGTAATTGCCACGTTCATAGACGGATCCCTTCTGAAGGATAGGACAGATCAACCCTGTGTTTCATGCTTCTGGTGTCTGTATATATATATATATATATAATACAAACAGAAGTCATAGCAGCTAAATTAGGTTTTGCAGGATCCTATTAGCTTATTTCTTTTATCTAAACCAATAGAATGGATTACTAAAAGAGAATCATTTTATTAATCATTTCTTTTTTTTTTTCTTTTTTTAGAAAACAAACTATAATGAGATTTTAAAACTTACCCTGTTCATGAGGACAGCTCTTCTAATTTCTCTAACACCATCGTAGACCAAACGTGAAGCATCAATGAATTCATTTTCATCAACATCTTTAGGAGGATTTGATGAAAGAGCGTCTACAGCAACTTCTACTCTTTGAGCAAAATTAGGCATCACTAAAAAAAAAATGAATCATTAAATTTTATTAATTTATTTGGTTCCAATAATATTATTACCTAGATTAGGAGAGAAAAATAAAGAAAAGACTCTGTTTCAACATACTTTCGTATTTTATGTTCTCTTAACTAAAATTGCAATCCAAAATGTTGCTATGGCCCTTTCTAATGCAAGAAGACTTTCAAGGTGTGACCAGTACTTCCATACTTAAATAATCATAACTATACTTTACTGAGGTGGATTCAGTCAACTTGTTTTGAACTACGAAAAAATTAAATCACATATACTGAAAGTAAATTGGGTGGAGGGGGAGGGGAAGAGAGAGTGAATAAAGTAGAAGAATTAATGAGGTTGATTCCCCGATAAACACTATTAATATCCATCCAGAGAATTCAACCTGATTACCGAAGTTAGTGATGGAAAAATAGTTACGAGTTCAAATCCCAGTGCCCAGTGGTACTTTTTAACTCAGCATAATTCCCCAACCCTCTCCCCCAGACCAGAAAAAAAACCTGTGTAGCCTAAAGGCAAGGAAGGGGAGAACAAAAAAAATTGTATTAAAAATGTAGTAGAGAGGATAATTTTAAATATGAGGTTTTATTCTCCCTTTATAGTAAACCTACATGAATCATTCATTTGAGCTAATTTCTTTAAATAAAATAGAAAAAATAAATAAAGGAGATAATTCTTGAAATTTGCAATCTTCTATAATTAAATCATCATAAATTAAATACCCTGTTCTCTAAGAACTTTAATAGCTTCCAGAACTCTTTCTGTGTAAATTCCTGGTTCATAATTGTCCATTTCAGCAGTAACAACGTTTGCTACACGAGCTGAACGACCCCTGATAGCACCAGCTGTTCTATCTAAAGAATCTCCATCTCCCTCTTGCAAGGCCATAACACACTTGTTAACATCTTCAAGGATATGGTTCTCTAAAAAAGAAACAGTACAAATTAAATTTATCATAATTAAAGCAGAAAATTTACTGGATGAAGCAAGAAATTACCAGAAACAGCTAAGAAATCATCAATTGTTGTTATGTCATCAACGGCTTCTGTTAATACACGAACTTGAGACTCCCATGAGTCCCTGAAGACGTCCATATTTTCTTGAGCAACTTTTGATTTAGGTCTAGCTCCAAGAATACGAGCCGCATTAATAACTTGTGGGCAAAGAGCATCTATCTGAGCCGCAGCATAACGCACCATCTTAACCCCATCCTCGTTTCCAGACATAGAGCATGCTAAATTAGCAACCTATAAACAGCATTGGTGATTAAATTTCTACTGAATACTGTAAAAAAACAATGGAGGTAAAAAATAATAAAAATATTTCAAATGTTAAAAGAAGCAAAAAAGCAGAACATATATACATAAATATGAGAATAAAAGTGCATTAAACTCTCATATCAAGTATCCTGTTCATAATTTTTTTACTACAAATAATTTCAACTTAAAACAAATAAGAGAATATCAAGCTTTTGCCAAATAGGAAAGAAGTAAAATTAAATTTTAATAAATTGAACTGATTACAATACTTTCCTTATATGGTAGCGATAGGAAAATAAATAATAGAATATAATTGAATTGCCCATTTCAGAAACAGCAAATGTATAATTTGTATAGGTTTTTAGTAGTGGCTTGTTTAAGGTACATTGTTGATAGACATATCTTATAGCACAAGAAAACATATTAAATCTCAACAAAGTGAAAAATTTGATATTATTAACACTAAACAATTTTTGTAGATTTTTATCTTTGAAAATTTAGTTTTGAATGGTTTTCAAATATGAAAAATATCTCACGAATAGTTCCTGAAATAACGGATTCAATAAATATTCTAAAAAATTAATTACCTCAACAAGTTTATTGGCATGCTCCTGAAAAACCAATGCATATTCTTCGACATCTTTCTCATTACCTGCTCTAGCAGCTTCAATTAAAACCAGTAGAGGGACACTGGTTTCAAGAAAGCTAAAACAAAACACAAGTTATGGAATATTGCATGTAATGTTTTTAGTTTAAACACATAGATATAAACTAATTAAGACAGCTGTCTCTCCTTTCGATGAGGAAAATATTAAAATAAAATAACAACAAATAAAAAAAAAAAATCTGAAAAGGTGGCTTCAAGTGGCACTAGTATTTTGACAGTGATAACAATATAATGACTGGAGAAGTTAAAGTACTAAACACAATAATGAAATATACAGCTTATATATGTAATATGTAAGTATTGCAATTGTGAAAATTTTGAACTGAGTTTTCAACAGAAATATACATTTTGAGATCCCCATGAGTCGAAATAACCAGAAATATACATTTTGAGATCCCCATGAGTCGAAATAACCAAGTCCCACAAATTGGTCTGTGTGTGTGTGTGTGTATGTGCGCATGCGTGTGGTGTGGTCAGCCTAGCTCGAAAAGAAAAAGTTGTACAAAACTTTAAATTGGGTATTTTATGGAGTTTATGGAGTGGAATATTAAGTGGTCTTTAATATCAGTTAGGACTTATCCACATTGGTGTCACTTTATAGGGCTTAATTGCCCAATGTTCATATACATCTTCCTTTAAAGTACCTTTAATATGGTTTATTAGAAAAAATTAATTCTCTTTTATTAACAATAAATATAAAAAAGAAAAAGGAGAAAATCCATCAAATTATTTACTAATTAAATTTTCTAAAAAGTTACACAGCAATTTTTCGGAATTAATGATGATACCTAATTATTTAAATATAATATCAGATCTATAATCACTAAACTACAGTAAATGTATTCAAGGTTATAAACATATGCTTTCGGAATTAATGTTGATACCTAATTATTTAAATATAATATCAGATCTATAATCACTAAACTACAGTACAGTAAATGTATTCAAGGTTATAAACATATGCTTTATACATCCTTGAAATGATTTTATATTTTACTTCTTCTTTCTCACATGTAAAATGAAATAATTTTTTTTAACAATGCCATTGCCTTAATTAGGTGGATTTTAAATGTTTTTTACAAATTTAAAAATGTTTGTTAAAAGTTTACATTTAGTTAGTAAATTTCATTTAATTTCCTTGAAAACATGTGAATTATATTAAATATTATTAGTTTTCAAAAATTATTATTTATAATTTTTTCTCCACTCTCTGTTACCTTCTACAACTTTCTATAATAGATATTGTTTTTCTAAAATTCTCCGCTTTCCAATGATACATACTACTAGTATTTCCGGAGATTCATTTTCAACGTGGATAAGTATTTTTATTTTTTCCTCCTTTATTCAATTACCAAATTCTTTCAAAAGTTATATTTAGCATTTTTTCATAACTTTTAATAATGATAGATAGTTAAATATTTGAAATGAACCATATTAAAGGTACTTTAGAGGAAGACGTATATGAACATTGGGCATTTAAGCTCTGTAAAGTGACATCAATGGGGATAAGACCTGATTGATATTAAAGACCACTTAATTATACTATGATACAGTGAGTTTAATAAAAATCTTTAAGAGCCGTTTTGAGAAAATTGTAAACATGTGTTTCACCGTTGATATAAAGTGGCACTTCTGGTTAGCGGATTTTAAGGAAAAAGTTGCTAGGACATCTAAGGCGTATACCTATCTTAAATACGTAATATCAGTTTCGTAGGACTTTTCGTTTTTGAGCTAGAATGTTCACATATACACACAGACTATTTTTTGGGACTTGGTTATTTGGAGCCAGGGTACCTCAAAATGAGTATTTCTGTTAAAAACTCAGACTCGAAAATTTAAACGGTCGCAATACTTACATATATAGGTAAGTGAAATTAAAAAAGAACCAACAAAATCGGTTCAATAACCTTACCGCTCTACTTTGAATAGAAATTATTTTCTGGCATTGTTGGGCTATTATAAAATTTTTGAAGTGCATGTTAAACGGAGCTAAAGCTTAAAACTTACAGATAACAAATCATTAAGACCATTAAAATTACAAAATATCTATTTATTATATCGACGGTAGGCATTAAAAATCTAGCTACTCCATCTACTTTTATAAAACCACACTTCAGTATCTAAGCCTTTCAGTTGACAGAATGACTAACTCCAATTTCAACATTTTTGAGTAATGCCATTTTAGTGATATTTCTAGTTGGAAAAGTTACATCTATACAGACAGTAAGTTGATTTCAGAGTAGGTGATTGCAGTGTTGAAATATAGAGCTGAGAATAAAGACGTAATTTTTGCAGCTAGAAACATAACTAAAATTAATAATAAACCATGTAGAAATTGGAGTTAGTCATTTTGTCAACCGAAAGGCTCATATATGCCTAGATAGATTTGAAAGTATTAAATTTCTAATAATTTTTGCGGGACTTAAGTTATTTGGACTCAGGGAACCTCAATACATGTATTTCTATTGAAAACTCGGATTCGAGAATTTTCACGATCTCAATACTTTCCCTTTTTATTGCCAACAATCAATATAATATTTAGGGTTTATGTTATTTTGATTGGTCTTAATGAGTTTTTGTATTGATATATATGAACGAAATTAAAAAATATGTTGTTTAAAGTTTAGCTGCATTCAAAAACTTTTTGTAACAAGAATTTAAAAAGTAGAGCAGTATGATGTGTGCACCAGATTTTTGTGTGCTTGGAACTCATTTCTGTTGCATACATTTAACAGTATATTTCATAGCCAAATGTTTTATTTATTTCTGACTGCACTTCCAATCATCATCGTCTTCTAAAAATTAATTTACGAATATACCTAAATAAAATATAATAGAATAACTTTAGATATTAGGATAAAATAATTAATTATTTACAAAGATGATATGGGGAGGGAATAATGCATTGTAACTGAATGATCATGTTAACATATCTCAGAGTTTATTTAATTTTTATTTTTGTTTAACTTAGTTGGCTCAGAGCACCGCGACCCTTGAAGGATCTATTGTGCGCCAATTTATCTCTGAGTTTAACTAGTTTTTAAATTAGGTTAAAGGTGTAAAATTAAACTTTTGATGAAGGTGTGTATTTTGATGTAATTTATTTTATTGTATAGTTAGTAGCATTGCCAATTGAACCTATGGCTTCAAAATCATTGAACATGGGAAATATTTAATTAGGAATGTAAGTTTATTGGTGGGGGAACAAAGTGGCATGCCTACTCTCATTCTCAGTGTAATTTCGTTAAAGGTAGCAATTAATTAGGAATAAAATTAAAATTAATCAGTTTAAAAGTACAGATTTTTTTCTCTGTTCTTGTTTAATATTATGAATGATGAATGAGGAGAATAATTAACTAACTTATCATGAAAAAGAAATAGAAATTCATCAGAAACAGACAAATCTTAAAAACATCACACAGAGATGGGTGAAAATAAGCTCAATGAGCTTGGCAAAATGCTTGATGAGAAATTCAAAATCGTGGAAGAAATAAAAGCTGACAATGAATATTATTGAGAAAATTTAGCACTTGCATGAAAAAAAAAAAAAAATAGTAAATTTGAGCTTCAGTGGAATTAAAGTTACAAAGAACATATATAAGATTAATATTGTTTTGTTTTTTTAAATAATAAAAAAAAATTTGTATTTAGCTAATACTTGAAATAACAGTGTGTCTCAGAGTCTGGTGGGAACTGGAGGTATGGCCTGAGTCTCATCCTAACATGATGTATAAAGCTGCCAAGCATAATGCTACCAAAGTGTCTCTCAGCTCTACTTTATAAACATCCATTAATAAAATCTAATATATAAAATACATTTTAAACTAAATACTTCTATTCAGAGATGATGGAGTGAGAGAAAAAACAGAAAGATATTTCTTGGATGGAAGTTGAGAAGCTAGGAACACTGATAAAAGATAATCAATGGTAGGAGCCAAGTGTTAAGAGGCCATCACATGTGTCTCCACTGTCATGATGATAGTTCTGTCCTCATCATTTTTTTTTATTACATTATTTATCTATGGAACTATGCATAAAAGAAATCTGACACTTTTTAGTTTTTGTTGTTATAACCTAATCTTAATCAATGAATAAAAATTGAAAATTCATGGAAATACCCAATTAGAATATTTAGTGGTGGAAAATAAACCTGCCAAAACTGAAATTAACAAGTTAAGTTAAGAAAATGAAAAAGATCATAGAATTTTTTCTAGTAAAGGAAAAAACTATTGGGACTGCAGTGTTTAAATAAAGAGGATAACTTACATTAAGTTATAAGGGAACTTTGTAAGAAATCATCACTAACTAACTTTACATGATCCAATTATCGACAGATTGTTAAACAGTCAGAGGTGAAGACAATCCTGGAGAATACGATGAAATTATAGGAAAAAGTATTGGGATAATTAGAGAACCAACATATCAGGGTCAACAGGGCAGGAAATAATTATTCCAATAAAGAAGATAACGGAAGTAGACAGGAATGAATCTAAAGGAACCTCAGAGGATAAATAGCATATTAAATAAATCTTAACATAATTCAATTTAATAGTAATTAAAAACAATAGAATAATATAAACTAAGTATATAATACACATATAATTGATGATATGTAGTTCAATAATATATTCATATATCATTGAGGTTAACCAAACATTCTCTTTGCCAAAATAGAGCAAATAACTTTTACCCAAAAGAATACTATCTACATTACCTATCAGAAACATGGTCGACAACTGCCTTCCTCAACTGTCTTCTTAAATCTCTCGTCTTGCGACACATATGATCAATGGCTCTCTCCAGACCTTCGCTTTGTTCTTTAACACTCATCTACAAAATAAAAAATATTACTAAAAAGAAAAACTATAACACCTGCAACAGACAAACTGTTATTTCCTAACAATTATGTAACACATGATAATGAAATGTATCAAGATGAGGGAAGGGCAAAAATTGTAAGAGAAAATAACAGTAAAAGATTACCATTTAAAATTAGTTCAAATAAAACAAATCAATTAAGATCTCAGCATCCTTGAGGCAAGCCCCAGTGGATGGATGAGAACTATATGCATTTATTTCCTACATGTGCAGGAAGCAAAAGTGAACAGGCGTTACTGTGAAATCAATTTCAGGATTCATGCTATTTAGTGGCATTCATGCTTCACAACACGTCCTCTTTTTTTGTTGTAAAAATAAATCACTCACTACACTAATATTATCAGGTGAATATGATTAAGTAGTTCATCTATAACTCCAAAATTAAAACTGGAAATTTTTTTTTTATTTACAGGCTAAAAATAAAACAATTTAAAAAACCTCAAATCTTTCGGTCAGTAAAAAAAAAACAAACGAAATTATAAAATGTTAGCTATAGTATAGCAAATTAACCATGACAGAACTAAAGAAAGAAGGAAAGCGTCGTACCCTTTTTCCACCCCTCTGCATTTGAATTTGCTATAAAAAAAACAAAACAAAATAATGACATTACAGAAATAAAAAAAAAAACTTTTTTTTTATAGAAAAAGCTTAATAATAACAACAATAAAGCATAATGCGCATATGTAACCAGCTAATTTTGAACAAGCATTATACAAGATTGATAAAAGATTTGCTAGAGGAAATATATACTTAAACGAGTTGTGAATAATAGATTGCACAACCCAATTCAATGTTCATGGATAGTGAAGGAAATGACAAAAATAAGTATAGTTCTTATGTTGTTATTTATTGAAAAAAAAAATGTAATAATTCATAATTATAACTATAATAATGATCATATGGTTATGATTTAAACATGAAAACTTAATGAATTTTGGATCTATTATGAGTTTGAGATACAATAGAACTGTAATAAGCAGCATTATATTGGAGTAGTTATTACTTCTCCAGTGGATGGAGTATAATAGAAAAAATAAAATAATAAAGCTTGTAAAAAGTTAACATAAATCAATAACCACAAAAAAAAATTTTATAAATTCACTAAGCCAGCACTAAAATGTTAAAAATGTTTTCAATAAAAAAAATAAATAAATAAAATTTAATTTTTCAAAAGTTTAAAATCTCCTAGGAGAAAAAGCTGTATTCCTGTGTAATTTTTTTTAATCTACTAGCATTAATCAATAAATATTTAATTAAATTACAATATAAGCAACATAAAAAGGTCACTATAAACTATTAAAGTATCAACCACATGATAAGAAAATATCTTTTTTTTCCCTTCAAATTAAATGACATTAATTATTTAGAACAAGTGAAAAATAATAATTATTTTAAATTAATAAAAAAAAATTATAAGCAATATTGTACGAAACACTTACATTAGCCATATATTCCGACAGAAGATCTTGAAGAGCTTGACGTACAGCATTACACTCGGCAACTATGCGCTCCCTTCTCTCGTCTCTTGTGCAAGAAGAGTCAGCCATAAGCGCTGCACCACTTATAATGCTTTCTAACCTTTCTTCAAGAGATGGTCTTGTAGCTACCTCAGAATAAGCCAAAGGTTCCATTACCATACGTTCCTGAAAAAAGTGTATAACATATAGAGAAATAGAATAAATTTTAAGAGAACAATTCAAATTCGCAAGGTGAGTAATTATTTAAACAAAGAAGAAGCAAGCCATTAAAAAAAATCTGGTGCGTGGAACATATAACTTTCACTTACCAATCTACTTTGAATAGAATTTATTTTCTGGCAATGTTGGGCTATTATAAAATTTTTAAGTGCATTTTAAACGGAGCTAAAGCTTAAAGCTAACAGATAACAAACCATTTAAAATTACAAAAACCCAATTTATTATATCGACAGTAGACAATAAAAATCTAGTTACTCCATCTGTTTTCGTAAACCATGTAACTCCAGTCTCTGATTTATGTGTAACTTTCAGATGACAGAATGACTAACTCTAATTTCAAAATTTTTTAGTAAAATAATTTTAGTGATATTTCTTGTTGAGAAGTTATATCTATACAGACAGTAAGTTGATTGCAGTGTTTATATATAGAACTGAGAATAAAGGTGTAAATTTCTCACTAGAAGCATCACTAAAATTAATAATAAAGAATGTTGAAATTGGAGTTAGTCATTCTGCCTACTGAAAGGCTTATGGATGCCTATAAATGATTATGGATTGTAGGACTATTAGTTATTAAACTGTTATTTTCCATTGTAAAGTATACTAAATGAAATTATGAGATTTTCAATGATAGCCATGGATAGGTCAAAAGTTGTCACACTAATTGCAAGTGGATAATGTTGGGATTTCACAAAGGGAAAATTCATCAAATTATTCATTAATTTAATTTCCTAAAAGGTTACTTGATGATTTTTCAGAATAAACGGCCGATAGGTACCAAATTAATTAAATATAATATAAGATCTAGAGTTATATTACTACAGTAAATGCATTTAAGGTTAGAAAAATATTTTTTATATTTCACTTCTTTTACACAAGTACAACGAATTAGAGTATTTTAAACAATGCATTCCCTTGATTCAGTGGAATTTAAATACTTTTTTCAAACTAAAAAAAATAAAATTAAAATTTACATTTAGTAAGAAAATTTCATTTAATTTCCTTGGAAACATGTGATGGTAAATAATGTTAGTTTTCTGAATTTGAAGTTGCTGCCACATCTAAGGCATATATTTATCATAAATATGTAATATCAGTTTCGTACAACTTTGGGTTTTTGAGCTAGACTGTGGCTGTCACATACGCACAGACCATTTTGCATGACTTAGTTATTTGGACTCAGGGGACCTCAAAAAGTGTATTTCCGTTGAAAACTTAGATACAAAAATTTTCACGATCGCAATATTTACTCTTGCTATATATTACATATATAGGTAAGTGAAAGTAGAAAAAGAAATTAAGATGGTTGATTATCACTTAACATTTATAAAACCAAGCCATTCGAGTGAATCTTCCAACATGAACCAAATTGTTTTTTTACATGAATATAATCATATTTTGATTTTTTGGAAAATTAAACAAAAAATGCTGTATTAATGCAAAAAAAATAGGTTTGCTTATAGGTGATATACAACTACAGCTAATTTAAGTTTATATTCAGAGAAAATGTTTTTATCTTTGCAGGTATACTATAAAGTACAGCCATACTTTACCTTTTCTCTATTGAAAACCGATAGGAATAGGTCATGTAATAAAGACGATACACAATATGAAATTAAATTCCAGGCATTTTTATGATGATTATAAAAAGGTAAGTTCAATCCAAAGCGATAAATATTTTCACAAGAACCATACCTGCCATTCTTCATAGGTAATTTGGTCCATTGGATAAATCAGTGAGTGGGCATATGCCCACTGTGGTCGTTAAAAAATAAAAAGAATAATAATACAATAGAAAAAGGTTAGGTATGTAAATATACTACAGAAAGGGGCAGGCAGGTGGTAAAAAAGATAAAATGTGCAGTAGAAGCGGCTTTTAAAACACCTCTGGCAATGAAAAGCATATTCCAATTATTGTTGACTAATTTTATGGCATATAAGTAGTCAGGTTAAATATTGTGTATAACAGTAATATTTAAATTAAAACAATACTAAATATGATACAGAATACACCCAATTTATCTCAAATGAGACAAATTATAAGATAGGCTAATTTTATTTTTGGAATACAAATAATTTTTAAAAAAATGTTCCAAATTATTAAATGATAGAAAGAATTTTTTTTACATCAAAATCATCCAAAGCAGCTGCAAGCTCGCCAGGGCCTTCGTAAGGATTGGTAGTGATCGATGGTCCTTTACCCTGAGCTACATCACTGATTGTATTGACAGCTTCACAAACTTGTTTAAAAACATAATCACGATTTGCCTTAGCAGCAGCAAGTTCAGGATGTCTGACATATACCTGTAGAGGAATAAAATGTTATTAATTAATTAATAATAAAAAGATATTTTGAAGATAGAAATTTCAATAGAAATTTGTCACCTTGGATGCAGTCAGTAACATGGTGCTATGTTTCTTCAAAACAGCACGTGCTGCAGCTAAGTCGTCCCTCAGCTGTGAATCCTTTAGCTCAAGCTGCCGTTTGGCAGCCTGAGACATTAACTCGGAAGCGTTACGTCCAAATGCTTTAATGTTTTCAAGTAGTTCTGGTTGGCTTGATGCATTTTTAACTTTGACCAGATCATCTTCAACCTGAAAGTTTAAATAATATATTTCAAACATAATTACATAGTAGTAGTGCATAGTATAGAAATAAATATGCGAGTATAAGGGAGAATTTATATATATATATATATATATATATATATATATATATATATATATATATATATATATATGTATATATATATATATATATATATATATATATATATATATATATTTTAATATGTACCTTTATTGGAAGTTGGTAAAATTGGTTAAGTAAATTAATGTTGAACAGTTAAAAGATGAGCTAATACCCCTGGAGCCAGAGCCAAAAAATGGATCTCAATCACAGGCGAAGGTTTGAATGTAAATTATGAAAGTGTATAAGATTTTAATTAAAATGAGCTTTGTTTGCCATTCCAGTCATTGCTTTAAAAAATGGCGCGGCCATGCAGAGGTCCAAATTTGCCGAAAATTGACCTCATTGCAGGCTAGATAAAACTTTGATAGATGAATCTTTATACCATGAAGCACTATTTTTGAGGATTTTGTCATTTCTGTGCGGCTGCTTTCCATTGGCAGACTTAATTTAAAAAATTGCAACTTTAGGAGTTAATAAATTTACCCATCTTAGTAGCCTTGAAATTATAACTACAATAAATGTGTGTGATAAAAGCGGCAATCTACTGGAAGACTCTAATTAAAAAATTGTAATTTTAGGTTTAAATATTTATTAAAGTTAGAAAATTTCAAACTTCGCTTTACGATACTTATATATTAGCTGTTAATTAAAAACGTTATGCCTATATTAGGCCGCGGCCATCTACTGGCAGACTTAAATTCAAAAAATTGCAGTGCAAGAAAATTACCAAAATTAGGAGGCTTGAAATTTCGCTATTTGATGCTGATAAACTAGATGTTAAATAAAAATGAAGGTCTGCCATCAAAAGACCATTGTTTTGTAGTGACAGACTGAGCTTGAAGTCTTGAACTTATAGTCGATGTGCCTTTAGCTACCCATATAACTTGAGAACAGGATGTGAAAATAGTTCATAAAAGAATGAAATGTCGCATGAATACAGCCCAGCATTACTCAGATTTGAAATCAAAATTATACAACAAATGGCACGACTATTGGAGAAAAGAAAAACGAAAAAAACCCTGTAAACATTATTGGAACAATAGTGCATTTATTTATTGAATTCAACACCAAGATGAACATCCTAAGAAAAGTTCGGTCTACATAACTTAGACAAAAATTCGCAAGATTTAAAGTACATTATTAAAATGAGTTCTAACCCATTTATTATTTGGGTATATAAAGGAGAGAGCGGGGTTAAGTTAAAAGTTATCAGGGGAGGTTGGTCAGAGTGAGATAGTTCTAAAACGAAAATAAATAAATATAAGTCTTAATGATATCCGTCCTGTGATTCTTATATCACCAATTATAATCTAACTTATGTTATATGTTCCTAATTATAAAGACTGATTATCTAAATCAGCTGTTAACTGCAATGTGAGATAATGTATAATCTGAAAGTACAGCATAGAGGCATGAAGTAATTATAAGTGACTAGTAGGCCCGTGCGAAAAATTCGCACAGCATATTGTTATCAAATGCCAAATTAATAAGGAAATAAAATAATGCAATGTATCAAAAGATAAAGAAATCAAATGTTACTTTATCGATAAATATAATTGACAAAGAAAACAAAAATTAATTTAAATCTTCATTTTTGTTTGGAACCAACATGTTAACAAATTTCATTCAGTAAGCTGTATCTTTGCTAAAAATTGTCCTAACTCGATGATTTTTGTTTTCATTTTATAGGGAATTTAGTAATATTTTATATAATCATGGGCATAACCAAGAGAAAAGTGTGTAATTTTTTAGTTATACGCAAATAAAGTTTGTTTTCTTTCATAACTTATTTGCCTGAATTTTCGGGGTGATTAGACTATTGTGCCCGCCTGAAGGAGAAGGAAGCCTTCGAAATTGGTGACTCAACCTTGAGATTTGGTGAAAAATTAACGATGATATGGCTTGCCGATCAAAAACACCATCGATAAATAATATAAACTCCTCTCTCGCTCATAGAGACCTCAAGTTGATGAAATGAGACATGTATTCAATGATAGTACTACAATTAATGTAAGGTTGTGTGGATGCGAACCCTATGCTTTGCGTTATCTCAAAAATAATACGTTTTTGGGCTTAAAAACGCAGGATTCTTAAAAACTGATTTCGAGCCATACTGTAATAATATATGTGGGGATCATTATTGAGTTGAGAACAGATATCTCGGAAAATGAGCGAGGTAGCGAAAAAAGATATATAACCAATCATAAGGCAACTTTTTTTAGCCTTAATTTGGTATATAATGTCTTTGTCGATAAAATGGATAGTTTTTCGGATATAAGCGAAAGACCAAAAACAGCAACAATAAACACGAGGAAAAATTTGTTTTTCAATATTAGCCATAGTTGAGGATGGATATCTCGGAAACTAAGCGAGGTTGCGAAAAAAGGCATATAATCATTCATATTGCAAATTTTATCAGCTTTAACTTCGTATAGAATGTCTTTGTCGACGCGATGGATAGTTTTCCTGATACAAGCGAAAGCCCGAACAGCAATAAAGGTGAGGACAATTTTTTTTTTTCAACATTAGCCATAGTTGAGGACGGATATCTCAGAAACTAAACAAGGTAGCGAAAAAAGGTATTTAATCAATCATATTGCAAGTGGGATTATAATATTGAAGGGCTTTTAGAACAATCGAAACCTCCTAGTAACTGGAAAGCACTATAATGCCGCCGAATTCCAGATAGCAAAAGTCAGAATATTGATTTCTGTACTTGGAAAATTTAAAACGAGATGAAAAAAAGAACTCTAGATTCATTGCAAGTGGATCTTTTGAAGCCAATGATTCTTCAAAATTGCAAGAAGCTCTGAAATAAAGTGATCTACACACCAGTATATTCGAACTATGAAATATGAAATATATGAAATATTTTGATTAAAAATAGTAAATATTCCTTACAGATCCTTAAAGATCGTTATTTTTATACAAGAATTATATGTGTTTTTAATAATTTACTTTGATATTATTAATATATATCGCTATTTTTCTTACTACGATACACTTTTTTTTAGGAAGGGGAAAATTGTGATATATTGATAAGTACCAATAAGTACATTTAGTTGGGTGGATAAAATAATCAATATGGATAACAGTTGTAACCTTCTTGAGTGTTATTTTGATGATGAATAAAAGAGTTGTGATTACTAATATTGAAGTTTGGTGTTATAATATTCAAATACCTAAGAGATTTAAAATAATAAATATTTTACTGTATTTTTAGTAATATTAATATTGATATTTTCTAGATTTTACTAAGTTCTAAAAAGTAAATATGAATGGAATTTAACTTACTACTCTAAGAGACTTCAACAGCAGATGTACATCTACCATGTCGGCTAGAATCAGTAGTCTAGTCACAGCAGAGAGCAAGTTGCGGGCTGCTCGTACCATATTACCACGTTTGATTGATGAGCATGGATCATCAGCAAATTCTCTTGCAGCTGCACTCATAGCTTCCCCTAAAAAATAAACTTTAAAATTACTAATCATACTTAAATCTATTATATACAAGGATAACTTGTTTTTGTTCATAACCACTAACCAAAAAAAACTTATAAGCTACAGAAACTCTCAATCTGACCAGTAGAATGAAATTCCAAAATAATTTATACCTAGTACGTGTTTACGAGTTATATAAGTATACTTGATCATAAATTTACATTATTTTTGTTACATTATTGTGAGAACTGCATTGTTGGGCTTTTATAAAATTTATGAATTGCATTTTTAAATGAGCTAAAATAATAAGATTACAGCCAAAAAATCATAAATATTATTAAAATAACAAAAGTAGTATATTACCAATTGATTATGGATTGTACGACTATTAGTTATTGAACTGTTATTTTCCAATGCAAAGTTTACCAAAAAGGAATTAGATTTGCATTGTCAGTCATAGACAGGTCAAAACACTAATTGTAAGTGGATACTATTCAAATACTGCAAAGGGAAAATTCATCAAATTATTCACTAATTTAATTTTCTAAAAGGTTACATGATGATTTTTAGGAATAAACGCACAATAGATACCTAATTATCTAAATATAATATCCGATCTAGAGTTATTAAACTATAGTAAATATGTTTAAGGTTGTAAAACTATCCATGAAATATTTTTATATTTCACATCTTTCACACAAGTACAATTAAATAGTATCTTAAACAATGTCATTGCCTTGAATCAGTGGGTTTTAAATACTCTTTTATAAACTAAAAAAAAAATAAATTAAAGTGTACATTTAGTAAGAAAATTTCATTTAATTTCCTTGAAAACATGTGATTTATAGTAAACAATATTATTATATTATTTTTTCTAAAATTCTCTACTTTCCAACGATATATTATACGTATATCTTCTGACTAGTATTCCCGGAGATTTATTTTCGAACTGGATAAGTATTTTTCTTTTTTTCTCCTTTATTTAATTATCAAATTCTTCCAAAAGTTATATTTAGCATTTTTCCGTAACTCTTAATAATGTGGGATAGTTAATTATTTTAAAAAAATCATTAAATTAAAGGTACTTTAGAGTAAGACATGATAGTGTTGGAATATCACAAAGGAAAAATTCATCAAATTGTTCATCACTAATTTAATTTACTAAAAAGTTACATGACAATTTTTTGGAATAAACGGACGTAGATACCTTATTATTTAAATATAATATCAGATCAAGAATCATTAAACTACAGGTAAATATATTTAAGGTTATAAACATATGCTTTTCACATCCATGAAATGATTTTATATTTTACTTCTTCTTTCACACATGTAAAATGAAATAGTTTTTTTTTAACAATGTGTTTGCCTTGATTAGGTGGATTTTAAATACTTTGTTCAAATTTAAAAATATTTTTTAAAGTTTACATTTAGTTAATAAATTTCATTTAATTTCCTTGAAAACATGTGATTTAAGTTAAATAATATTAGTTTTCAGAAATTACTATTTATATTTTCTCGTCAGTCTCCGTTACCTTCTACAACTTTATTTATTAGATATTACTACGATATATTATACGTATACCTTCTGACTAGTATTTCCGGAGATTTATTTTCAACCTAGATAAGCATTTTTATTTTTTTATCCTTTATTCAATTATCAAATTCTTTCAAAAGTTTTATTCAGCATTTTTCGTAATTCTTAATAATGAGAGATAGTTTATTATTTAAAATGAACCATATTAACCCTTAATTGGCCAGGCACTCAAAAAATGACTTGAAATGAAATTTTTTTCCTTAAACCTTCTCTTTTGTGTTCTAAATAAGTAGAATATGTTTGGTTTAACTTGGTTTTTTCTTTCCTTTATAAAAATACTGCATGGTATCTTTAAGTATACTCTTGCCAATCACAGTAAATCAATGGTGGTGTCACGAGTTAAGTTCACTTTGGCTAATAAACTAACATCATAGTTATTAAAAATGTAATTAAATAATTTATTGGGTAATAAAAAAAACATGTAAATAAAAAATAAGTATATTGTAAGCAAAATACAATAATATACAAAACATAAATCCATGAAAAATAAGATTACGCCTTTCCTTGTTCATGAAATTCAAGAAAACAGGGCCTCTCACTGATGTTACAAATACTCAAATTATATTTTTGGTATAAAACAACCGTTTGATACATGCAACACAGTTTGCACTTCCCTTTTGTAGTTAATACTTGTCCAATGGTGCATCTTATCAAGTTAATTTTGCTGTGTCAGGTATGGCAGCTGCAGCTGTTCTTTTTTTCAAGACTGCAAGTGGTGGAGTACTGACTCCACTAGCTCTTTTAGCTCGCCGGTACAGCAGAATATCTTCTGCAATTTGTACTCAAAATTGTTTTAAAGTCAAATTTATTTTAGGGGTGTTCCTTTTAACAACATATATGCTCAGGAAAAAAAGGATTGAGTAATATGAAATAAATGTTGATATTTTGCTCACCTGAATTGTGGTCTTGAAATTTTTCTTTTTATATAGGATCTTTTACCATTGGAGGTATTACACTCTTTTCCCTTAGAGGATTCAAATTATAGGATTGAAGTTTCTTCATGTACTCCAATGGAAATAGGATCTTCTTCACACATTGTCAACAATTCATTTCACTGTATATTATTGAAATTTTCATCTTCAATATTGAAATCTTACAATATATTATTATTTTCATTTTTCAGTTCTGCTTCAGCCATTTTGGGGCATTAGTCTACATATTTCCATCTTCATTGCTGCTCTCTTCTTCATCGGAAGTGATGATAAATTTTGGTAGCAAAGCCAAAATCTTTTTAGCTAGACTTTTATATATATTTATGAATAAAAATGGTAAAAAAAAAGAAATAATAATTCAGGCACATTTGTTGCCGTTAGGGCAGGGTGAACTTAAGTACATCATCATTAAAATTTATGCTAAAACTTTATTCCTCTCCAGAATAGGAAATGAAACATATAAGAACTTAAAAGCAATGTTTTAAAACTAATTTATTCATTTTATAGTTCATATTTAAATCGAATAACATACATTTTTTTACATTAGAAACTTGTCTGGTGACTAATGTGAAACAGTGTGGTAAACAATGGTGATATGCTTCAATAAATTGATAATAGTTCGCTTTCAATAACAATAAATCGACTTTTGTCACATGTATATCACTAATGTTGGGAGGCTACAGGAGTGTGGACTGTGGACCAAAAAGATATAATTGGAGGCAGTTGCTCTCTCGGGCAAGTAAAATATGGAAGGTGTCTTTAAAGACACCTTGGCCTATTAAGGGTTAAAGTTACTTCTCAAAACGTATATTTACGTTGAAAACTCAGATTCAAAAATTTTCACGATTGCAATATTTTCCCTTACTATATATTACATATATAGGTAAACCAGATTGACAAAAATGTTGATCATTGCTCAAATACAGACAAGATAAAACAAGGAGAAAAATAAAATGAAGCAGAAGAAACAGTACAATTAAATGAACCATTATATAACTTTATAAATAAAAGGAAACACTATTATAAATAAAATGAACCACCAAAGGAAACTGCTACCAGCAAAAACTACTGAACCAATTTTTAACTATACCATGGACTTTGATAGGTTTAGCAGTAATATCAACCAATATTTCATTAATTTTAACAATGCTTCATATATTTAACTAATGATTTGTGGCCAACTCCACCATATCCGAACCCAAGGCTTGTTGAGAAAGGAGAGAGATCCTTTTGGAGCCTGAATAAATGGCACTCTAATATTTTCTGAGGTCAGTGAAGAGATTTTCCCATCTACCTACACTATTAAGCATGTGAGAGTAGAAGGCCAAGATGGTCAAACATGTTTCAGCTTTGTCTGCTTTAACATTCTCGAGTCTATAGTGCCACTGGTTCAAATCCGACCTGTGGTTCAAATTTATTTTGTGATGGACCACGGAATGAATCTCCAGGAATAAACCACCGGGAACATGTAAAAGGCAGAGTAGGATACATAATATACAAAGATCTATGCACACACTTCCTGGAGTGCTGAAAGTAAAAGAATAATAACTGCAAAATTAAAACTTGAACATAAATATTACGCATTGTTCCTTATTTGACGCCTCTTCTCCATCTTCTATGTCAAAGGGCTTTAGGTCATTAGATTCTGATATGCAATATCATCAGAGCCTGGAGGCTTGAAATGTGCCTATAACATCAATATATGATCAATCTGTTTATATCATTCAATACAAGTCACAACATTGTTAGATCACCAAGTTGCCTTGTTATGGAGAAACAAGGTGCTTCCCATTATCAAATCCCTTAATGACATAAAAATTTTTATCATCAGCCCATTTTCATTTGTAATATTATGAACAATGTGTAAGCCTGTTGTGGGTTTGTAATGCAGTCATTTTCCTACTCCAGGATTGAAGACTTCAACCATAATCTTAACATCAACTCATACACAACTAACCAGACTTCTTTCCAAGTCATTGGGAAAACAGTCTTTCTCTTTCAACAGTTCATAAATTATCTATTAATTAATTGTCTCACTAATTAACTATCAAGGAAGAGTATAAACAAAATGGTGTGTTTAAAATTATCCTAATCATGGTTCCTTATAATCTCCATGAAATTCTCTTCATTAGAACAGGTAAGTAGTACGTATTCTTAAAATGTTAAATTTTCCTCCTGAAAATCATGAGTACTCCACTTAATATGATGATGACAGATACGATGAGTTTTGGATGTCAGGAGAAACATATTTTTTCAGAGCCTTCTTCTCCATAGTTATTTTAAAAATAACTAGTTCTTGTGTCGTTTTAACAAACTCAACTCCTCCTGATGAACCAAAATAATTAAATGATATTTTTGCTTACTTACCATCCAGGACAACCCTCAAACAGTCAACCACAATTCATTTCTAAGAATATATTTTCAATTAAGTACCCATTAATAGTCATAACAGCACATTAAGTATCACATAGTTAAGACTGAAATGAAGAGCATGACAAAACTAGATATAATAAACGACCACAGCTTATTCAAATAAACAAATAAAGTTAATAAGAGCTAAGTTATAAACTACATAATTATTTTAAAGTTAAATTCATATGAAACAGGAGAGAAAAATGAATATTAACATATAATATTTTTTGATATATGGCTCACCGCTTATTATCTCTCGTTCTCATACTTTATAAAGTTATATAACAACATTGCTTTTTATTTTCTTTATATGTAGTAGTATTTAAAAATTTCAAGTAAATACAATTATCTATTGCAAATTTTATTTTGTTACCAATTGCAAGTTTGTAATACAATGGAATCTTAGTAATCTGAACTTCACTAGTCCAAGCAGATCAAAAAATAAAGAAAGAAAACTGAAGGAAGGAAGAATGTATGGAAATTTTGATTTAGGAATGGAAAAAAAGTTAAGTTTTTAGTTCTTTTCTGAGAAACCCTCACCTTGCCATATAAAAACCAAAAGATGCAATATCATATTTCTATTACTGTATTAGATGTGCAACTAACCCTTGGCAACAAAATCTTCTAATCAAATTTTAGTTAAAAATCAGTAACCACAAAATTAACTGAGTTAATAAAAAACAGTCCATCAGATGGTTAAAAGACCATGAAGTGCATCTGATTTTCGGTTTAAATCAAAAAATATTATTTTTATTTTGTTTTTGTAATTAATATTTTGATAGATAGAAAACATTTTTACTAGGCTTGTCCAACTGTTGGTCTATATAGGTGATAAAGACATTGTGGGACGCTCACTGCAAGCCGTGACTGATGGTTTCCTGACACTGATTGGTCATGCCAGCAGACTTGTACTGGAAGTTAATGAGTCCAAAAAAAAATATATGGTAACAGAACTTTCCACACCAGGCGAGATAGTCACTATTGGGCTTCATAAATTTGAGATGGTTTCGGAGTTCACTCATCTGAGATCTATAGCGGACCCTACACGGTCATTCAGAATTGCACTAATGACGTTCCGAATTATCGTGTAAGGTAGTGAACGAAGTACTGATGGTGGTGCGCTGCGGATTTCCGAACATCCGGAAATCAAAGGTTCATTCACGAGAAGTGGAGGGGGGACTGAGGTAAAAGTAGTTAGGTTACCTAGGCCTCACAACCATTATAAATTTTTGATTTTCATTATATGTAAATAGTTAAATAATTTTTCATATCCCTTGTTTATAATTTTAAACCATCTTCAACTATTTCTTTTAAATAGTCAAGTGGGCAACAAATTAAAAAAAGAAATGAGGAAACTTCACAATTTACTTTAAGAAAAAAAAAAACTTTAATGTTGTGTATATTTATCAGTTCTTTTCCCATTTTCCTCAACAAATTCATTATTTTCGCAATACCTTTCCTTAATTTTTGTAAGTAGTAGACTTATATTTTTGTAACTTTTGTCTAAACGATTTTCAGGCACTAGGAAGTAATTATTATATCTCCGTTTTTCTCTTGATGTCCAATATTATAAATGACAATGTCCAAATAAGCATATCTATGCTGTTTCTTTGTTTACAACTGAGCTAAATTGGTATCAGCAATGATAAGTAATGATTGAACGTGTAAGGGTCTTCATGATTAAAGCGATCGCAGGCAATCTTGGCACTTCTTGTGACGTTCATTCATGAATTACCATCTGCTTATAGTCACTCAGGATAATAACACCAATATTGAAGTAAGAAGAAGGATCATAGCAGACAAGTGCTACTTTGGATTGAGCAAGCAGCTAAGCAGGTGGATATTTTCCAGACAGACTAAGCTCCACCTCTACAAGACATTGATGTGTCACATACTTCTTAATGGATTGGAGTGCTGGAAAACTTTGAAGGTCACTGAAAAAGAACTCCTTACTTTTTAAAGAAAAGTTCTTTGCTGTGTTTTTGGGGGAGTGAAAGTTGAAGAGGAGTGGAAGCGGTGCACAAATCAGGAGCTGTACAATGCTTTGAGAAACTGACATTGTGAAAGCAATGAAGTTGAGGCGTTTGAGGCGGCAGGGCATATTGCCAGAATAGGAGATGAAGATATGTCCAAAATATTGTTTGCACAGCCAATCTATGGAACAAGGAGAAGAGGGAGACCAAGGGTGAGATGGTTGGATAGTGTGGCAGGAGACTCCCGCAACTTGCTGGGAGTTAAGAACTGGATGGCATTGGCACAAGACCGTGACAATTAGAAGAAACGGTTAGAGGAGCACATGACATGAACTGTAACCGGGTTGTAGTGCCGTGAAATAATAATAATAATTCACAAAGATGAGACTTTTCTTCTATAAAAAAAATTTTCATATACACAAAATTTGACATTTTTGTGGGGGTATAACATATATATCCAGTTAAGCAGTTAAGTTGTACATATTTATTGAGTTTTGCTTTAATTGGGCTTTTATTGAATGCATTTTTCATGAAAATATTCTGTAATCTCGACACCTCCTTGGTTAGTCCAGATTACTGATTTCATTCTACTTTACTATTTTAGTTTTTAAAAAGTTCCATATTATGTTTTCAAACACAAAAATTATACATATATAAAATATGAAAAATAATTAGCTTTGGCAACAAACCCTTTTAAGTATATACTAGGGGAGTACCCCCTGTCCACTTAACGGCAGACAAATCCTCTTTTTACAAATTATACAACTGTTCATTTAATTTTACTACTCATTGCTCAATTTATATAGGTGTAATTTACATGTATTCTGTAGTTCAAATTGTATTATTTTTTATCAACATAAAAGATACAGAATGAAACCACATTTAGGACAAATTTTTACTTTCTTTTAAAACCTATATTATACACATCTTATTGCCAATTTCTGTAATTATAAATATTCTTATTGCCAATTTGTAATCATAATAAGAGAGAAATAATTTAAGGAATAAGAAGTGTGATTTCTTCCTTATTGTCCGTTCAACTATTTTATATAGGCAAAATAAAACATCACAAGGTCACCACTTACAAATTTTTTATATAATAGAGAAATACATTTGTTTATTTCACATTTCATGTTTGTTACAGTATGTTTTAATTATTTGTATATAAAAAATATGAATATTAAAAAATCTCTAATTTTCATTTTAAAAATATATTTTTTAAATCACTTTTATATAATTTTTAAATCTAGATCTAATCTCTTTTATAATGCAGGCACATTCCAGGACTCCAGTAATGAGTCATTAAGAATGAAACACTTAGTCACTTCTGTCAATAGTCACTTTTTGTAACTAGTGAGTTACCTGTTGCCTTTCGAAATACGACTTTCACAATGAATAATATAAATTAATAAATGACAATAAAAAAGATATTTAATATTTTAGAGGAATCAAATCTAATTAAGTAAAGTTTACAAAGATATGATTAAAAAATAAAATTAACTTCAATACTGCTTTACAAAGGCCACTCCATCATTGCGGCTGGGCAAAGAGCCAAGACAATAGAAACAACTCTAAAATGGCCAAGTAAGACTGAGAGTAAACGGAGGCAATCATACCAGAAGCAAGTTTGTGTGTGAAACACAAATAAATTTATAAAAAATAAATCTTATAAATTGAAAACTAATTCATGTTCAACACAAAAAATTTGGCACAAGAAAATACCATAAACACTTACCTGTTTTTCTCACTTCTTCTACAGCTGACAGCATTTCTTGCTTAATATCAGGATTTTCATAAGCTATCATTTCACCTTTTTCAATAAAATTTTCAGTGGCTTTTTCGACAGCTGCAACCAAAACATGAGCGCGTTTTGACCTTCCCTTTTTCTTTTTACTGGGCCCTTTAGTATTTACAAGTGTTGTCACCTTGATAAATAAAATAACAAAATTAAAGATTATGTTAATAAATAACTGGAGAACTTAAACCTCAAATAAATACACAACTTTTTGGTACTAACCTGTAAGACAAGTGGTTCTAAAGTTTTCTCCACTGACAAAGTTCGTATTTCCAGGTTTTTTGGATCCCATTTAAGGGTTATTCCACCAATATGATCAGTCATCATATTGTGATAATTTATTGATGACAAGCTATTCTTCAGTAAATATATACAAAAAGATCAAAATTTGACAGATGAAATTAACTAACACTAAAGAAGCAACAAGGAATGTGACTAAATAAAATATCTCCTGAATGCTATCGGGTGAGTCATTCTACAGTCAAGCTCATGGAATCCTAAAAAAAAAAATTCTTATCAGCTCAAACAAAATATGTTTTAATTAGTATATATTTTTAGAAAATAGAAAAAACAAAACAGTAGTAGTAGTTTTTATTGCAATCAAGGTGAAATAGGATCAAAACTTCTTTATTAAAGAGGTAAGAAAGACTGTATATAACAACGTATCTATCATTTTTATCGAAGCATTAAGAATTATTTAAGTTATAATTTAAACACGTATATTTAGTCATTTTTATGTTTCGAATTAAAAGTAAAGATGATTAAAATGAGAAGTAATATAAATTCAAAAGCAATGGTAGATTAAGTATTCTTTATAACCCCAAAAGATAAGGTACGTAAGGTTACTGTTGATTTCATCACTGTGGGAAATATATATTTTCAGTTTTACATTATAAGGACTAATAATCAAATGTCGGCGAGATTACCATCATTCTTGAGGCTTTGTAAATATGCAGTTGATAGCCGAGGATCTTTTTCAAAAACTTTATGCAGGTGCATTATGTTTTAACAGGTCAGTTCTGACCTTTAAAAATTATAGAAATTATCAACTTTGATTATTCTTTTTGCAGGGGTTATCACATTAAGCGTTATGAGCGACCTGATCATATTTCGGTTCCTAATAGTAGGGTCTTAAATTTTTCATCTGTGGCTGAAGATAAAAAACCTTCCGAAAGTCCAAAGATTGATGAAAAAGAAACCCCTCTGGAAGAAACTAATCAATTGCATGAACTGACCAAAACCATTGAAGAAATTACAAAGCACCGTGATGAGTTGAATGTAGTTAAATGTTAAATAACTAGTTAATGTAGTTTTATACCTTTCTACTGTATCTTTTATATTTAAATGTTCTAGGATAAATATAAGAGGGCTTTAGCCGATGGTGAAAATTTAAGGAAGAGGCTTATGAAGCAAATTGATGAAGCTAAGATTTATGGCATTCAAAGTTTCTGTAAAGATTTATTAGAGGTAACTCAGTCATTCATTAAGGTTATGCAAAATTTTTGCATAACATTTAATATGTAATATATCGAATTTCCTTATTTCATATAAAACATTTATATTCACCTGGTATATATCTATACCTGCAGTACTAGTGGGGAGAGGACTAGTCCAGCAAGTGGGCTTTTAATCCTTTCTGACAGGCTGATAGTTTGTTAAAAATCAACTATTATATATATATTTTTTTTTTTTAAACATAAAGCTATAACTTCAGTCTGTAATTCTTTTTGTAGTGCTATGGACAGTTGTACATACCGAGGGTTATCAAATTTTCATGTCAACTAAAATATTTATCCTAAATTTACTTTTGTGTTACCACCACAAATGTGATTTCCTGTAAACAATTTGTTGATGAAAATTGTTCATTAGAAATGGTTGATTTTTTTGTTTAAACTTGAATTACTTTAGGGCATTTATGTGCCTTAAAGTCACCATATTATGATTTTTTTTTTAAACTTCAAACCTGTAACTAATATTGACTAATTAACCCACTGAAATTATCCTAGTCCTGTCAATTTGCTAATAGTAAAAATAAAACAGAAGTAGAAAATATATTTTTTTTTTCATCACATGTAACAATCAATTTGATACCATGGGATGTGCCACTGTACAATCATCTCTCCGTTTCTACAAATGGGCCAAGATACAATGATCATCCTATAAATAGGATTCCGAGAACAGCTAAGGATTGACATTCTGTCAACAGTATAATCTCTGTTTATGTAGATTGCAATTTACGACCTCGGAAAACTCAACTGTTTTTTTCTTTTGTTTTTGTTTTCAGTTGAAATCAGGACATTGATTAGTTTTAATTGTTAAGGGATAAGAAAACCTGCAACTAGTCCTTTTTGGTTGAAGTCGGGGCCTTACCTGAAGGTTCGGTTACTTCCATCAACTTTCAGACACATTTATCCATTCAAGCAAATTTATTATTCATAAGTTTGAAGCTTTAAAAAACTTCAAACTTATAAATGTCTTAATTTTTACTTCTTCTTCTTCTTTGTCTTCCTCCTTAGTACCTTTCAGCATGGAGGAGCCTCGACCCATTTACGCCAGTCGTCACGGTCTCTCGCCAGGTCCTTCCTATAATCCAATTGCTCGCCTCTTCTCTATCCGAGCTTGGTTATTTCATCAATCCAAGTTTTCCGTCGTCCTCTTGGCCTCTTTTCTGTGGGTCTTGCCTCAAGAAATTTTCTGGGTTTCCTGTCCTTGTCCATCCTCATAACATGACCAAACCATTTGAGCGTTTTATTTTCCACATTTTCCAGTATTGGTGGCATCTTAACATTTTCTCTAATCCGTCCGTTTCGGATGCAATCTCTTCTAGTTCGGCCAGCTACTCTTCTCAAATATTTCATTTTGGCAGCTGTAAGCCTACTTTTGTGCCTATCTAGAAGGACCCAGCTCTCATTACCGTACAGTATGGATGGAAGGTAGAGTGTGTTGTATATATTGATCTTAGTTATATTTTCCACCTCTTGTTTTCCTAAGACCGTGTTGCAGATCTGGTAATATATGCCATTTGCTTTTTTGATCCTGTTTGATATCTCTTGGTCTATTTTTCCATTTCTACCAACAACTGTCTCTATGTATGTATATTCCTCTACCAACTCCAGATTTTTACCTCTACAGTTTATTTGTATGTCTTCGATTTCTCGACCTATCTGCATAATCTTACTTTTTTCTTCATTCACAATCATACCTTTTCTCTCAAGCTCAGCTTCCCATTCCACAATCGTTTACTATAATTTTGCAGCCTAAAAGTATGTACTTGGGCTTTTTAGATATAAAAGCAGCTTTTGATTCGGTGCCAAGAGAAGAAATATGGAAAGCACTATATAATAAGAACATCCTAGGAGACCTTATCCAAGCAATACAATCAACATATAAAGATTCTAAGGGTATAGTAAGGATCAATGGGAAGGAATCAAACAGCTTTAATATGGACAAAGGGGTCAAACAAGGCGACAGTCTTAGCCCCTACTATATATTGTGTTTATGGATGAAGTTCTGAAAATCTGTAAATATAGGACTGGAAGATGGAATATAAGAACAATTTTAGTCCAAGCTCTCGTTTACTGAGATGATATTGTCCTCATAACAGACTCAGCCGCAAAATTAATTTTTACAATTTTCTTCAATATGGCTCTAATGATTTCGATTAAACTTATTACGTGAATGTAAAATCAATTAGTCTATAATACCAGGTAGCTGTTATTTTAATTGATATTGCCTGACAGGGTTTAAATGCCGATTTAAAAAAAATAATTAACCATTTGTTATTGTAAGTAGTAATTAAGAATGGTTTAATATGAACGAATTTGATAATTAATTAAAGAAAAATAAAGGTTATTCATTGATTGAACATGGAAAATCAGAAACAGACAAGAGTGACCAAATATTTCCAATCTTCACATTTAAAGTATTTACATCAGTACTGTTATTTCCTAATGTTAATTTTACCATTCATATATTTCACTTACGTTCTATTTCCAAAACAAGATTTTTATATTATGGTAAATGTTAAGGATTTACAATTATATATGGATATCGACAAATTATTTATACTGATATTAACTTTTTTTTCAACGTGTTTCTTAGTAGACGTTTTGGATGAAGTTCAGAATATTTTCAAAATATCCCCTTTTACATTTTATTAATTTTTCTGGTCTATAAACAATTATTTTTACTTTCACTTTCTAATATAAGAAATATTTAGTAAGAGAAATTATTGTGACCGTGAAGATTTTTGAATCCTAAGTTTTTAGCGGAAATGCCTGTTTTGAGGTCTCCTGAGTTCCTATAACCAAGTCCCACAAAATGGTCTATGTATGTGTGTTCATGTTTTTTTTATCTTCTAAAAGGTAGAAATATTCAAAAAGACACGAATAAGCCCATACCCATCCGTACATGGGATTTGTACCCACTAAAACCACCTTCCTACACTTATTTCCCATCCTCCACAGGACTACCATTAGGTATTACTTCATGCAGGGAAATGGCTGTGTGCCGCCTCATCTTCTCAGGCTATCTCTATCTCCTGGTTCACCTTTCCTCCTCCTCACTCCTCAATTTCTTGATGACCTGCTCTGCAAGGCATTGTCCCGCCATCCAGCACTCTTGGGAGAGCAGCATCAGTCCGACGAGATTATCAGCTGTTGTTTCTGATCTGCAGGCATCTCAAAATTATTCTCTTTCTCTCTGGCAGCGGGGACAGAAGAAGAATATGTGTATTCTGCGCTCTCTTCTATAGGTTTGCACTCTGGGCACTGTACTGTACTGTTCAGCTTAAACATATACTGAGATTCTAAAGAATCCATGTTCAGTAAGGTAGTGGTCCACCTCCTCGTGCTTCCTTTCTACCCAGGATTGGAAACAATGAATCAGTCTGTGTGTCCATCTTCCATTCAGTGCTATGTCCCAGTATCGTTGCCATTTGTCAATCATCTACTTTCTTTCTTTGACCCTGGGCATATGATTGACTTGGTTGTAAGTGTGCATCCTGATTATAATAATAAACATATAATTAATTCATAATTGGTAATTGGTTGATTGTCGTGGATAATGAAGAGAAGAATAGTTGGGGTGGTCAGTCAAAAAGGAAGGCAAAAATAAATGATAATATTTATTTTTGCCTTCCTTTTTGACTGACCACCCCAACTATTCTTCTCTTCATATAATTAATTGTTTTAAATAATGTTTCATACCATCTATACTTTTTACTTTCATTTCCCATTGTCTAAAAATACTTATTTCTGCTTAGAAGAGGATGGTAAGTGAATGTTGTGTGATGCCCGCATCTCACCATATTTTTTAACATTCATGTATGTTCTTTAATCTATATTTAGTTTAATATTTTGAATTATACTGTGTTTTATATGGTAATTAATTGTTTTAAACGAATTTGTTATATCGTATATAATTTTTACTTTCATTTCCCCAAATATATTGAAATATCTAAAATATGAATCGGTTTCTACCCTAGGAAGGGTTGGAAATGAAAGTTGTGATATGCAGAACTGTACCATACTTTTTCTATTAGTAAAGTTTATGATACTGTTTAGTCTCTCTTCTTTACAAAAGTAAAAACTAACATAGTGAACAATGATTTGAGTTAAAAGACAGTAAAAGAAGCGTATAAAACACTGACCATTATTTTTGAAGTATTAAGTATTATTGAACATTAATAATATAAAGGTCGCAATTTATTGATGTTTAAATATTAATGCTTGTTTCTTACTTTATTTTTTAATGTAACAGAAATTCAAAGTAATCTATCCTCTTTAAAATTCATTCTAGTAATGGTTAGTTTCATTGAATTAGGTTGCTGATGTGCTTGGAAAGGCTACCGAAAGTGTTCCCAAAGATGAGGTTAATGATAAAAATCCACATTTGAAGAGTCTCTACGAAGGTCTCATAATGACCGAGGCTCAACTTCAAAAGGTAAGTTATTTACTTCAATCACCTACATTAAAAAAATTTATGGTACTTATTTAATAGCGTGTAGCGTCAAAACCTCCCTTCTTATCTAATCTCATTTCACATAACCTCCCTTATCTCATGTAGCCTAAGTTATTCCCTTGTTTATTTTTTGTTTCTTGTGTTAGCTGCGAGTTAGTGTTATTTAATTATGGATGTTGGCACATAGTAGGAATTGCCGTTTTCAGAAGCAGAGGCTATAAAATATTTTCAAGACGCCGGGATATTTGCAAAGGTCAAATATTTTGATGAAGTTCAACGGGAAGATTAAATAGAAATGCTTTTGTAGTTGTAATAAAACCGTTTCTATAAGGAAAGGAACATGGTTAGAGGGGTCGAGAATTTCTTTTGTGTCTATTTTTATTATTTCATTTATTTTGATATATATGTTGCAATATTTTCGTATTGTTTTTTAATTATATGTTTATGATGTTTTGGTGTATTTTAATATATATGTTGTAAAATAAAAGTATTTTTTATTATTACATTTGTTTCTGTTTTTGTTTACAATTTCAATAATATCAATATAATACAATAAATATGAATAGGAAGATATAATGATATGAATATAATACAATAAAACTGAATACAAAGAGCCTATCAGTGTTAAGGTTAGAAACATTAGCAGATAGCAGTCGGACGCTACCCTCTACTAAATAAGTACCAAATTTATTTATCTAACTTTCTTTCTTTTTCCTTTATTTAGGTATTTAAAAGGCATGGTCTAGTTCCTCTTATTCCATTAAATGAAAAATTTGATCCTAATCTCCATGAAGCACTGTTTCAACAGGTAGATTAAACAGATATCATTTTTTTTCTTTAAGCAAAATTTATTTTGATTTTTAATTGACATCTTATTTAATAGGAGGTTGAAGGGAAAGCTGCTGGAACAGTAATTGTCGTTTCTAAAACAGGTTACAAGTTGCATGAGAGAGTAGTGAGACCTGCATTAGTTGGAGTTGCAAAAGGGTAGCAATAAATTAGGTCCATTGCTTTTGTATTTTTTCTTTTTTTACTTTATGAAGTTATTTTTCAACTTCTGAAATTTAAATCTGTTTTGTATTTATATATTTTTTTTAAATGGTATATATATGTTTATTTAATATATATATATGTATATGTAAATGTATAAAACATATAGGCTCTTTTGCTAGCTAGGTTTAGGGATGAATTAAGTCATTCCAAATAAATACTTCTATCATCACCAAAATATTTAGTATTATTTTAAATTGAGACCTTAAGAAATAATACCTAAAATCTGTATTATAAAATTTATATTTTTTTGGAATCTTATCAGTAGTGGAAGTAGAAATAAAAAAATTATTTGTCAATTTTTTTTTTATTAATGTTCATGTATTTTTTTATGTTTTTGTTAGGGTTACCATTACGCTTGTAAATTAAATTTAAAACCTCTAAGGAAATGTGTGTTAAGAAACTTATTTTCCATAAGTAACAATTCACATACCTGATTTTACTTATTATTAATTAAAGTTTCTTAATTGCTTGTTTTTGGTGTGGCAGCAGTAGGTGATATAAATTGAACTTGTGAAACAAAATACCCTCCATGGCCTCCTAAATATCTATATTTATATATTTTTTAAATAATGTGGAAACTGGGTGCTAAATCATAGAAAAATAAAATATAATCTTTTTAAATATAAAATATAAGCTTTTTTTTAATAAATAGTTACAAGGACATGCAATTTATAGCGATGTGGGGGGGGGAGGAGAGGAGTGGTGCATGATAAGGGGGTCTGGCCCAGGGACTAGTCTGTCAGATGAACTGGTCTTGGAAATGGATTTGAAACCTAAACCCTAAATCCACACAATAGGGCTTTCAGGATATCTCTGGGTCTGACTGGTTTTTTCCCTTCCATGTCAGTATCTTGAAAAGAGAAGAGCTGGGAGCTCCAATGCAGGTGCATTTGCCTTCTAGAGATAACTTTTACATTTTTATGAAACACTCCATTAATGTGAGGTATAATGAAAATGTGAAGTGCAATGTGACAAAAATCTGATCTAAGGGCCACTATACTCAACAAATTATTCGCACAGACCAACTAGTAATTAAATAAATGAAAAAGGAAACAACTGCTGCCACATTATTGAGAAAGGGCCTAGTGCTTTTGATTTGTATTTCAAACCAAATTCTTTTGTTGTCAAAAGGATCAGGTGATATGTAAGAGGGTGTTCTGTTTTTTAAATGTTATTTAGGCTCCAGCCATCTTTTTCTTATTCTTAACATACCAACCCTGTTCCCACATGATAATCCCATAATTAAGAACCTTGGAATAACCCTTTCCTGAAAACATTATCAGATATTTCCTGATATGCCCCATCTATTCCCATTTGAAACCCATAAACTCATCACTTCAACTATTGCTGTGTGGTATTTGGGGGCATCTCTGAGGTGAGATTAAAACCTAAGATAAATAGATTCATCTTGGAGATACCAAGGGACACTTCTATTGCCATCATAAAATACTGAAATTGCTTTATCCTTCTTACAGACTAAGTATTTCTTAGCATCCTTCCTCTCCCACTTCCAGGTCTTCAGAAGATCCCACCAAACCTCTGCTTTCCATAGATCATTCATTATTGGATCCACATCCCTATGAAATTCTATCACATTCTACATCCTTAGCTGCAATACCCTCCCCACTTCTAAATCCAGCCTGTCCAATCAGCTCTCATAAAATTGTAAATAGATGTCTTTAACAGGTATATAAATAATTAGTTTGCTTTCAATACTTTTATTAATTTTTTTCCTCTTAATTGTAAATAATATTCTCTTCTTTTATTTGTTTAATATATAAATCTGTGTATTTTGTAATTATTCTCAAAGGCTCTAAAGCCCACATTTCTATCTCTACATTATTCTAAAGGGAATTTTCCCAAAATAAAGCATTATTATATCACAAGGCCCTTAAAATACTACTTAGGAAAAAAAATTAGGTTTGAAATAACTAAAAATTAAACAAATTGCAACTTAAAAATCCTTAACAGGAGTGCCACAGATATTAAGATAATGAAAGCACCCAGAAAATAAAACCTATTTTATGAAAACTTGAAAAAAAAATTTTATATAATATATACAATCTTTAGGAAAGCAATTATAGGGGAAATCAAGAGAGAACTATTGATGCCTTCCAGGAAGATATTTTATTTAGAACAAACTTAAACAATTAATCTTCATCTTCCTCTGCAGCAGCAGCAGTAGTTCCCTTACGAGAATTCTTCCTCTTTACACGACCAGGGCGGCCACCACCGAATGGTGATTTCAATGAGAAGTCAATGTGTTTTTGTGAGTCTAACCTCACAATGAAGCTGGGTATATTGACAACCTGCTTCCTCACTCTGAAATAACAAAATATAATGAAAGGTTTTAAAATTATATTAGGAATAATTAGAGAAAAAAAATACTTGATTAATCAATCAATACCTAAGTAATTCTAAATTTTAATATACATTGCTTATATTCTATAATAAAAAAAAAGGGCATGGAAGGGATAAAATTGTTAATCCATCTATTGGAATCATTGTATTGTATGCTTCACCCACACTTAAAAAATATAAACAATGGTAACTAAGAAAATAAGTTTTCTAAAAAACCCTTTTTATTAATAATATTAAACTTAACAGATGACACAATCCAATCCTGTCACAAGAGAAAATTTCTTTTTAAATGGTGTAGTGCATTACTTTAACTTACCATCCTAATATTAAGTAAAAGTAGGCATTTCCTTGTACAAGGAAATTACAATAAAAAAAAATTATTTCTCTAAAAACTAAACAAAAAAGAACAGACTACAGAAATAAACCTATCCGCATTGAGAGAAGGTAATTAAATACCCACTTTAATTCCTTAATAAGTTGTTATGGATTAAAATGTATGTAGTATAGTTTCTTCTGAACTTCCAAGATTTGGATAATGGAACAGCACTGAATGATTTAAATTCATTTGCTGAGGAGTTGTAAAATGCAAACAGTTTGCTAAAAAAAAAGGTAAAATCAATGATAGGAAGTATTAAATACTACTTTTAGTAAGTTTATCTATGGAAAAAGTTATTAATATCCCAGGAACATTCTTAAAATAAAGTTTTGAAGAAATTTTAATTTTTGAAATAAGGTGTTGACATATAGACAAAATGCTAGATAATTTGGTTATTAAAACTTAAGCAAATCAGACACATGCTCCAGTCAAGATGCCACGCTAAATACATATAGTTAGTTATACATAAGTACAAATGACAGAGGTATGGAATAATACGGGAAAGCAAAGTTCCAAAAACCTGTCAAAACAAAATCTAAAAATATTGAGAAAAAAGCAACTAATTTTCTTATTATAAGAACTGGATTTTAAGTTGTTGTTAACTGGCACTACGACCCAATGCTGACAAGCTTTTACACTATGGCTATTGATCGACTACTATCATTTTATGTTAGGAAAGATAAAGTGAAGATACTGACTAATCTCTCATGGCTATTGATCGACAAGTATCATTTTATGTTAGGAAAGATAAAGTGAAGATACTGACTAATCTCTAACATTATAAATGGTCTTTCACCATTAAATAATTTAAAAACAGTGAAAGCTAAAACTTAACAACTACTATTTACCTTTGCCTGTCAACTAGTGAAGCTGCCACTTCTACACTAAACATTAGGTTTCAGTAGGATAGTACACATGACTTAAACTAAGGCAGACATAAAGGAATAACCTCTAGTGGCCTGCATGATAGAATAATTTTAAATTCTGTGAGAACGCAAACCAAATCTGTTATAATTAAGGTCTAAGTCACAGCAGACATAGAGAATTTCTCTAGTGGCCTGCAAGATTTTATATCACTAAGTCCTCGTGGTCTAATAAAAAATTTTATTGTTAGTCTTAAGTTACAACATAGTTTAAACATAAAATATATGTAATTTATACCAATAAAACATTCACACAAAAATAAGAATGTCATAACTGGAAAACTTTTTAAATAAATCTTTTAAACTTAAAATTATGTAGAAAAAAACCAACCAAAACTGAAGGTATAGACAATTCATGAACCAGTTTTAAAATAATTACCCTTTCTTTCATTCTAAATGATAAAATAAGTACTTGGATTAGTTTTTCTTGACCCAAAATTAGTATGAATAGGCTCACAATGTGCTGGAAACATTTAAAAAATTGCTTTTTGTTGCCCAGTGTTATAAATCTCATTTCACAACTGTAATTGTGATTTATAGAAAGAACTTTTTTTTTTTTTTTTTTTTATCACAACACATGTCTTGTGATGAAAAAAAAATCTTATAACGGTATCAATGCAGCCCGCCAAAATTAGTAGAGGTCACAATGTGGCCTGTGAGCCAACAAGTTTGGAGAACTCTGGATTAGAGAAAAATGAAAATTAACATTTTCTCTTGCCCTGATAACAGGGCTTTAAAATTGACTAATTCAGACAATAAATTAGTTGACAACTATGGCACTGAAGTTGCCAGAAAAAACTACAAATAACTGTTAATTATTTCTTCGATGCCATAATAATACCAGACTATATCCTTCTTGAAAAATTGTATTCAGATTTGAAACAGACAAACCAACAAATTACGTTATGCCTGGGATTAACACTGACATTAATTTTGCCTCTGGTAGATTAGAGAAAAATGAAAATTAACATTTTCTCTTGCCCTGATAACAGGGCTTTAAAATTGACTAATTCAGACAATAAATTAGTTGACAACTATGGCACTGAAGTTGCCAGAAAAAACTACAAATAACTGTTAATTATTTCTTCGATGCCATAATAATACCAGACTATATCCTTCTTGAAAAATTGTATTCAGATTTGAAACAGACAAACCAACAAATTACGTTATGCCTGGGATTAACACTGACATTACTTTTGCTTCTGGTAGATTAGAGAATAATGAAAATTAACATTTTCTCTTGCCCAGATACCATGGCTTTAAAATTGACTAATTCAGACAATAAATTAGTTGACAACTATGGCACTGAAGTTGCCAGAAAAAACTACAAATAACTCAATTATTTCTTCGATGCCATAATACCGGACTAAATCCTTCTTGAAAAACTGTATTCAGATTTGAAACAGACAAACCAACAAATTACGTTATGCCTGGGATTAACACTGACATTAATTTTGCCTCTGGTAGATTAGAGAATAATGAAAATTAACATTTTCTCTTGCCCAGATACCAGGGCTTTAAAATTGACTAACTCAGACAATAAATTAGTTGACAACTATGGCACTGAAGTTGCCAGAAAAAAACTACAAATAACTGTTAATTATTTCTTCGATGCCATAATAATACCGGACTATATCCTTCTTGAAAAATTGTATTCAGATTTGAAACAGACAAACCAACAAATTACGTTATGCCTGGGATTAACACTGACATTAATTTTGCCTCTGGTAGATTAGAGAATAATGAAAATTAACATTTTCTCTTGCCCAGATACCAGGGCTTTAAAATTGACTAATTCAGACAATAAATTAGTTGACAACTATGGCACTGAAGTTGCCAGAAAAACTACAAATAACTGTTAATTATTTCTTCGATGCCATAATAATACCGGACTATATCCTTCTTGAAAAATTGTATTCAGATTTGAAACAGACAAACCAACAAATTACGTTATGCCTGGGATTAACACTGACATTAATTTTGCCTCTGGTAGATTAGAGAATAATGAAAATTAACATTTTCTCTTGCCCAGATATCAGGGCTTTAAAATTGACTAACTCAGACAATAAATTAGTTGACAACTATGGCACTGAAGTTGCCAGAAAAAAACTACAAATAACTGTTAATTATTTCTTCGATGCCATAATAATACCGGACTATATCCTTCTTGAAAAATTGTATTCAGATTTGAAACAGACAAACCAACAAATTACGTTATGCCTGGGATTAACACTGACATTAATTTTGCCTCTGGTAGATTAGAGAATAATGAAAATTAACATTTTCTCTTGCCCAGATACCAGGGCTTTAAAATTGACTAATTCAGACAATAAATTAGTTGACAACTATGGCACTGAAGTTGCCAGAAAAACTACAAATAACTGTTAATTATTTCTTCGATGCCATAATAATACCGGACTATATCCTTCTTGAAAAATTGTATTCAGATTTGAAACAGACAAACCAACAAATTACGTTATGCCTGGGATTAACACTGACATTAATTTTGCCTCTGGTAGATTAGAGAATAATGAAAATTAACATTTTCTCTTGCCCAGATACCAGGGCTTTAAAATTGACTAATTCAGACAATAACTTAGGGATGGCTGCAGATACGTCTCTATTTTCCTCCTGATATTCGATCTTTCACTATTGATAGTATACCTTTTGATATCATTATCTATTGTTATTTTTTTTTTTAATTTATGACATTTACAACTGTATTAATAAATAAAATACATATTGATATTAAAATATAAAAATTGAAACTACCGTTTTCGGAAAGTGCTAGAAAAAATATAAGCTCATCTTGCCTGTTTCATAGAGAAAAATATCAATTATTAGATAATATTGACTATCAATGGCTATTCCTAAGTGGAGTGGAAAAGGGCGCAAGGAACCTTTCTCATTCAGCTAACTCAATATGTGCAAATTTGTTAGTCAGAACCTTATCAAACCAATCGATGTGGTATGTATATATATCAGTATTTTGCTAAATGCGATCTATGGATGAGTGGAGGGCATAATTGGTAGAATGAAAATTTTGAGAAAAAAAAAACAGGTTAATGAAGATTGATATGAACTATAATATTAATTTATCTAAGGTAGAATAATTGATACTACAATTAATCAATTTAAAGAGGAAAATAACATCTTTATTTATGCGCCTACTACGTGCTATATAGAATCAATATTTATAATGATATATTTTAAAACTGTTTATAATATTAATGAAAATATAGCTTATCGATTTTTTAAGTCTGAAATTGGGCCTTCAATATCTCATCGCTACAATAAATAAGTGGACAATTATGGTACGGAAGTAGAAAAAAAAACTTTATATAACTGTTAATTATTTCTTTAATGCCATAATAAGACTGGATTATCTTCTCAAAGAAATTGTATTCAGATTTGAAACAGACAAACCAACAAATTACGTTATGCCTGGGATTAACACTGAAATTACTATCGCCTCTGGTAGATTAGAGAATAATGAAAATTAACATTTCCTCTTGCCCAGATACCAGGGCTTTAAAATTTATAAATTCAGATAATAAATTAGTAGACAAATACATATACTTCAAAATTGTACGTAACCAGTTATCATAATATTAAATATCTTTCTAAAATATAATCAAATAAACATATAATAGGTATAAATAATTAAATGTTGCAGCTAATCATACCTTATATGCCTTTGTCTTATCAAAACTCTAGCATGGTGAATTGACTTAGCAAGACCCAGTTTAAAAACCTGTAACATTATAAACAAAAGACTTAGAAAAAAAATACCACCACAACTTTAATATTAATATAAATAAAATATAATGTATCAATGACTGTAAACACAACCATTCAAGCAGACTTAGAAACATCTAGTTATTTTTTTTAGCATGGATCAGTGCCTTGAAGGTGAAGTTTTGTATTCTTTTAAAATCACAAAAATTTATATGTCGTGATATGAAATGATTTGTTTTTCTTCTGTAATTTTAAATCTTTGAATTAGAGAGAAAAAAAAAAAGACTTTAAATAATCAACTCAGTTATTAAAATAATGATTTACTACGATACTTACTACAGCTAATAAATGTCTTTAACTTATACTAAAAAAAATGTTAAAAAAATATATACTATGGTAATGCTTTGAGTTATCAATTTATAAAAAACAAAATTGAAGTATTAATTAAGAATGAATAGCAAAAACAAAACGTAGAGTAGTCTGATAATTGCAAAAAATCACTATGAACATTTTTTTGTTGAAGTTAACTTTAAACTTTGCTTTAGTGAATTTCGATCATATTTATTGAAACAAAAATATGTTAAGTTCATACAAATAACTAACTCTTTTATTATCATATGTAGTTACACCAAGTGCACTATGTTTAGATTTCACAGAAAAATGTTTTAACAAGTTTTTATTGATATAAAGTTATGAAATGTTACTTAACAACTTATTACAATAAAGCCATGATATAAATTACTTCAAATCAGAATAGATAAGGTTAAGGCTGTTGGCAAGTGAGTTTCCCACACATGAAATATTATTTTAAGTTGGGAGCAATAAACTTGCCTCACTAGTTTAGCCTAGTAAAATAAACAGCTTTGGTAGAAACCATAAAGCCTTTAACTAAAACATCCACATAGGCTATAAAAGAAACATATTAGTCATCAAATTCAAACCCTAATTTTTTGAATTAAACAATGTACCAAAACTATATGATCTGAACTAATGTGTAATCATATTTTACTATCTATATTTGAAATGTATAATACAAGGTTAGTCTTAATAAAAATATGAACTATAGAAGTTCAAAGTTGAACACTTAAATTAAACTAGATTACGAGACTATAAGAACAATCCCTCACAAATCTACAAAACAGCTTCATAAGGCTTATTGCCACCAATATATTGAAAATTTTAATTATTTAATTACTTAAGATAAATCCGGTAAGATAATAGCGCCATAATTCAACTAACTACAGTTATAATGTAAGTAAATTTAACTGTCATCATAAGACACTATCCTCCACTTAGTTTAAAATGTAAATTTAATAAAATAGATGTGTTCTACGCACCATTTTTAACATTATGGTGGCTTTTTAGCAGTCTGGCTGCATATGAACCAGTGCTTCAATCAATTAATAATTTATGTTAAAAATCTTGAAATAAGAATGTGGGATATATCTAAGGCTAATTTATTTCAAAGGCACAGCACCATTGCATTCTAGATGTTACAATCTATTAGCTACAAATAATATAACCACCAATATGCATAGAACTTACCTGTGTCTGAAGTCTTCTTTCCAAGAAATCTTCAACTTTGAGACCCAAAACATAATCAAGTTTCATTTTAGCCTCATCTAATACTCCTATCCTCACTAATCTTCGCAAAAGTGCATTTCCTAAACAAAATTTAAATTTAATCATAGGAAATATATCTAAGAGAAGTAAGATAAGTAATAAGATCTATCAGATATAAATAATCTACACTTTTTTTCAGACAAGAAGTGTCAGAAAAGGTATAATAAGTCATCATTAGAGCACATTCAATGTAAAAATTTTACCGTTGACTTAAAAAGTACTTACCTTCAAACAACCTCTTGGGATCCTTCTCATCAAGAGTAAGCAATTCTCTGGCAGCTTTCCTGATTTTAGCAAGAGTATATTTGACCCTCCATACTTCACGTTTATTTCTCAGTCCATACTCGCCGATTATCCTCAATTCCTGATCAAGACGGGCCTTTTCATAAGGACGCCTTGGAGTAACATAGGTTTTACTATGCACAGATGGAACCCTTCGGTTAACCATATTTAACACTAAAAAAAAAAATAATTAAACAATAACTTAAACTGTATCAGGCTTATTAAGGCAGCAATCTCAAACAAAGAACATGATAAAAAGAAATAAATTATATTTATTTTAAATTTGTGCAGTTTCGACCATAAAAACCATAAGAAAAAACAATAACGAGAAACTTTAAGATGGTAACAGTAATAATATGTAGGCAAGAGGTTTAGTCTAATAACATGTAGGTAGAGTTAATTTAACATTAATATAAGTATGCGGATTGGCAAATATGACATAAAATTTAATATTTACTTGAATATTAATGTTAACTTGTACTAGTTTCTCATATTTATGTTACCTTGTCGTTTCTTAAGACTTAAAACTTGGGCCAAAACGTTGGCACAAATAAAAACAAATTTAATTTATTTATTTTTATTTTGTTCCATGTTTGACTTAACACCCCAACCAACTTCTCTTTAATATTACCAATATATTTAATAGATTTTTTCAATCTAGAACTTAGTACTGACACTAGATAAAAAAAAATCAATACATATATGTAAATATAAACGTAGTATGAATATAGGGTTATATTATGAAAACTTTAATATCTAACACAGAATGTAATCAGTTGGTACTAGTTCACATGAGTTCGGCACGAATTAAGCGTGATTCACGTACACTTCAATCACACTTGTTCATGGAATCCCGAAAACAGTCAAATGTAGTCTCTTATGACATCAGCTATTGCCTAATCACACAATCCCTTTTCATGCACTTTTGAAAAAAAAAAAAATGCTTTTAGAAATAACATTTTTATTGACACGTGCTTACACGTAGTGGCAATAAATACTCATATACTGTTGTATTTTTTTTTTTTAACATTTGTATGATAATATATAACATTGTATGATAAAATCTGAAGTTATCCATTATCTTTTTATTTATTTCAAATAAGAGTTTTTCGATAGAAGTTGGAATAATTAAATTTATAATTTATTTTAGCAAGTATTTTGTAGAATTGAGCAATCCCCTATCTAGTTTATGTAACTTATCGGATTTCTAATAATACAACGGTCCACTATTTTCTAGTCGTCCGGGCTTTTTATGAATATACTGTGGGATTTAAAATTGTTCAATTTTTTTTTTTGTAGATTTTTGTATTTCTTAGATATAAGAGTCCACTATTAAGCTGTCAAGGATACTTTTTTATGAAAATAATGTCGGATTAAAGATTGCGTGAGAAAAGTGTGTAATATTAATGAATAAAATGTATCCATCAATCGTTACATAGATAAGTATTTATGTAAAAAATGTCCTATCCCAACAAGACTCGTAGTTCTCCCAGTTAGTCAACTGTTACTTTAATATAAATTTTTTCATTTCAATCGCTATTATTTTTATTGAATGAATTAGCTGTGTAATTATTGTTATTTTGAGTTATTTTTCTCGGTAATCTGAAAATGGAGACTATTGCAAGTCATTCGTAAAAAAGGGTTTATTTTCGGGAAAGTAATTAACGTATTGCGGAAACAACTGACAAAGAATATGTGATAATTTCAAGACAATGAATAATGGAAATCATCAATAAGAAAAATAAAAAAGTGAAATAGCATCCAGAGATGTAATAATTAAAGGTTTTTATCTACAACTATTTCTTTTTCGCAGATCTACAATACAAGAAAAAGTTCGAATTCAATTTTCATTGTGTAGCCTAAATTTCGAATGTAATTCAGCTCCTGCTATATAACTGAACATGGTTAAAATTATAGAAGTACTTAAATAGCGAGAAAGTTAATAGTAACAGACTCAAGAGATCGGTCGGTCGCCTTTGTTCTCTTTCGGAAAAACCTTGGCGCATTCAGCACTCCACAAACAAGTGTGACCGAAGTGATTGTAAACCATGCGTAATCCGTGCGGAACTCTTGGGAACTGGTACCAATCAGTTTTTACAATACCAATATTAGCATTGTAAGATCAACAGGTAATAGACTTTATTGAACAAAATATAATACCTGAGAATGATACAAATTAAAATTCTGAACTTAATTTATTTTTTTTCATACTCAAGCACCTTTTTATCTGACAGCACTGAGGTTTAAAAGGAGAGCAAAATCAACACAGCACTTAAATATTAAAAATTTTTAGAAAAAAAAAAAACGTAGAGAACAGAATTGACAATAAATTAAATACTCTTCCATTATTCCTTTAAAAATTAATTAATTTAAGCTGACTCAAATTTTAAAACTAATTCCTGAATACTATTAATTAAAGTGGTGAAGGTTAAAGAAAATTTGCAATTTTCTTAAGACATTTCATTTATACCAATTTAATACAATTTTTTTTAACCCTTTGTGGGGCTGAAGAGGTGTGAAATATGGAATGCATATTAACTCAGACAATGAGCATAAGTAATCTGTATTAAAGAAAACAAGTCAGTTACAAGATTTTAACTTGTGGCTACGAATATACAAAACTACAATAACTGTTTAATAACAAGTATTATATTTCCATTCATATGTTTGACTTGTTAAAACACCATGAAGTAGTTGTGAGAAAATACTGTGGCTTACTTAATGCTAATATTGAAAAGAAATAAATTAAGTAACAACCAAAATATAATATCCAGACAAGACAACAGACATACAATTTAGTTACATTAGGCTTTTACTAATTACTCAAAACGTATCAATAAAACATAGACAATTGCAATCCAGTATTTCTTTTATTATCAACTATTTCCCACTTTACACACATAGGCTGGGTGAAAACGATGGACAACTGGTTACCATGTGCTCATTTAAGCTTTTTAACATTAATTGCGAAAAATTTTCACGTGAAGTGAGAAGTATTGAAATTATTTATATTTAGGTCATCGTTTAGGTTTGCTAAAGCTAATGATTAACGTTTAAAAAGGTAGGAAATAACAATATTGCATTTAATAACTAATGCAACACACCACGTGCAACATCAAATCCCATACACATTACAAAATAATTCCGTAAGGTCTTATTATATAAGAATACTTCTGTCGAATGAGCTTAATATGCAAAATTAATTCTATAAAAAAATATTAAATATAATCGTACCACCATATAACTACCAAGACTCTTCCTTACCTTACACACCCACAGCCGTCGGAGGAAAATGGACGAAGCAGTGTTCAGGAAAGTTCACCACGTAGCTTTGCACGATAGCGCATGCGCTAATAGCTCTTGCTATTGAATTATTTACTTATTTCGTATATAACTTTTGAAAAAATTAAAGAATCAAAATAAAATTTTTAAAACAATTAAATTGGATTGTAAAGAATATTATAATCATAAAATATAGAGTACTATGGGATGAAAAATTAATCAATATATTATAAATTATGCTGGGAACCAATAGGCAGTATGGTGTAATTCCGTCATAAGCTATTACACAGTGGGCCAGACCCTCTTACCGTGCACCCTCTCCACATCCTTATAAATTGCATATTGTTGTGTTCCTTGTAACTATTTATTAAAAAAAAGTCAATGTTCCCACAATAAAAAGTGAACGCACTGCCCCAAAATGGCGTCCAAAGATGGCGTATTGACGACTTTGACTTTAGTTACTTTTTTGGTCACTGAGAATCAGCATTTGGCTTAATTTCCTCGTAGTTGGTCTTTTATTAAAACTGAATAGCCATAGGATAATAAAACATGACGAAATATTAAAAAATAATTCGCTTAGGCTATGAAAAACACCGGTAAAGTCAATTTTTTCAACAACAAAATTTTCAAGTTACAAATCAAGCGTCGTTTGTAATTAAACGGCCTACAATAACGCAAAACGTGCTAAAATAAAACATCTGAAGAATATATTTCTCTTTCTAAAACGCTGATTGTTTTTTAAACAAATTTAAGCAGTTCCGTAGAAAATGCACTTATGCGACAGAAAAGCGGTACTGGCGTGGGTGCCTACAGGCATCTACCACACCATTTAGTACACATAAATGGCTTAGTTATAGTGTTATAATAACATTTTTGGTACATTATATTGGTTTTATTAACGAACAAATATTAATGCAATAATTTAATTGTAAAAAAAAAAATATTATTATTTTTTTTTTAAATTTAACGTCCTTTATTCTATACATAGGTCGTTTAAGAAGACCACAATTGTAAAAATGATATAATTATAATAATAAAACTTAATTAAAAAATACTTTGCTAAATATATTTTTTTTTTATTTACGTTTGTAATTTAACACTGTGTTTTGTATATTTACTGATTCTTAGAGGAAATTAAAATTTTTATATACTCCCCAGGAAATGAGTCATATTAATACCTGTTTTATAAACTAAAATAATATATACCTAATCTGAACTATATATAATGAATAGCTACCGGGTTATTTAGTAAAACTCATATATCACTAATAAAAAAATTAATTTTTATTTCCTTTATTTTGTGCAGAAGTTGGACTATATCATAAATAAATAGGAAATTTTAATATTGAACGAATTATTCTCTATGCACAAAGAAAGATAGAAAGGGTGACGCTATAAGTTCTTCTATAAACCAAAACTGATTGTTTGGATTTGGTCTCAAAATGAGGAAAAACGCGAAATTGAACCAGAAAGTTGGAAAAATACATTAAGCAAACGAGAAAGGAAATGCAAAAACCTCGGAAAAGATAAAAATTAATAGTATCCATCATATAGAGAAATGAATGAATAGTAGACAGATGAACAGAATATTTCAAGATGCAGGTAAAAGGAGGACAATTGCAGTTTGGATGATATTAAGTGGACGATGTAGGTTTATTATGGTGAAAACCACTTATATAGGACCACTTATAAACCAGGATATAGAGAGGTATATCGAGAATGTTATAGCTCATAGCTCTCCTTCTGTTTAGTACATTTGCAAAAGATTTTTTAAGGAATCTAAATGGAAAACGGGCTTTTCTGTAAGACAACTAATAATATCTAAATATTAGCATAATCCTAAGTGTGAGACACTAAGCAGATAGAGAGCTATTTTTCTTTTTATAAGGACTTCTCTATAACCTGCCTTAAAGTGTAGACAGTCCCAATTTTCAACTTCTCTTCCAATGTGCAACTTGAGTTTCTCAATCAATATCGCTCTGGCAATCAATAATATTTCTTATTCCAGCTTCTACGATTCTTGAGTATAATTTATATGGTACACTAAACAGGAATGGACCTTGATGGGTATAATTTCCTAGTATCTCCTTTCTTGTAATGGTAAAAACCACAGTCCTTTCATATCATTTTCTAATATACTTGTTGCCTATGTACTCGCAAAACTGTACGAAGCAGTTCGGTTTCGCCCTTTCTATCTTTCTTTGTACAGAGAGAATAATGTATTCAATATTAAAATTTCCTATTTTTTTATGATATGGTACAACTTCCGAACAATTTATTGCGCAATTTCTGAACAATAACGAGCTATAACTAATATAAGATTCCTTAAAAAATCTTTTCAAATGCACTAAACAGAAGGAGAGCTATGAGCTGCAACTTTCTCGATATACCTCTCTATATCCTGCTTCAAAGTGAAGATAATCCCGATGTGCACCTTCAGCAATCGAAAATAAAGTGGTTTTCACCATAATATACCTACATCGTCCACTTAATATCATCCAAACTGCAATTGACCTCTTTTTAGCTGCATCTTGAAATATTCTGTTCATCTGTCTACTATTCATTCATTTATCTATATGATGGATACAGGTCCTTTTTTTCTTTTCCGAGGTTTTGGCACTTCCTTTCTCGTTCGCTTAATGTATTTTTCCAATTTTCTGGTTCAATTTAGCGTTTTTCTCATTTTGAGACCAAATCCAAACATCAGTTTTGGTTTATAGAAGAACTTATAGCGTCACCCTTTCTATCATTCTTTGTGCATAGAGAATACTTCATTCAATATTAAAATTTCCTATTTATTTATGATATAGTCCAACTTCTGCACAAAATAAGCGAAATAAAAATTAATTTTTTTATTAGTAATATATGAGTTTAACTAAACAATCCGGTAGCTATTCATTATATATAGTTCAGATTAAGTATATATTATTTTAGTTTATAAAACAGGTATTATTATGATTCATTTCCTGGAGAGTATATACAAATTTTAATTACCTCTAAGAATCAGTAAATATACAAAACACAGTGTTAAATTGCAACGTTAAATTAAAAAAAAAATCAAAATATTTAGCAAAGTATTTTTTAATTAAGTTTTATTATTATAATTATATCATTTTTACAATTGAGGTCGTCTTAAACGACCTAAATATAGAATAAAGGAGGTTAAATTTTAAAAATATAATAAATTTTTTTTTTTAAATTTTATTTTATTTTTTTACAATTAAATTATTGCATTAATATTTGTTCGTTAATAAAACCTATATAATGTACCAAAAATGTTATTATAACACTATAACTAAGCCATTTATGTGTACTAAATGGTGTGGTAGAGAGAGGCCTATAGGCACCCACGCCAGTACCGCTTTTCTGTCGCATAACTGCATTTTATACGGAACTGCTTAAATGTCTTAAAAAATTAATCAGCGTTTTAGAAAGAAAAATATATTCTCCAGATGTTTTATTTCACCACGTTTTGCGCTATTGTAGGCCGTTTAATTACAAACGACGCTTGATTTGTAACTTGAAAATTTTTTTGTTACTGGAAAAAAAAATTGACTTTACTGGTGTTTTTCATAGCGTAAGCGAATTATTTTTTAATATTTCGTCATGTTTTATTATCCTATGGCTATTCAGTTTTAATAAAAGACCAACTACGAGAAAATTAAGCCAAATGCTGATTCTCAGTGACCAAAAAAATAACTAAAGTCAAAGTCGTCAATACGCCATCTTTGGACGCCATTTTGGGGCAGTGCGTTCACTTTTTATTGTGGGAACATTGACTTTTTTTTAATAAATAGTTACAAGGAACACAACAATATGCAATTTATAAGGATGTGGAGAGGGTGCACGGTAAGAGGGTCTGGCCCACTGTGTAATAGCTTATGACGGAATTACACCATACTGCCTATTGGTTCCCAGCATAATTTATAATATATTGATTAATTTTTCATCCCATAGTACTCTATATTTTATGATTATAATATTTTTTACAATCCAAGGGTGCACGGTAAGGGGGTCTGGTCCACAGAGTATATACTTCGTACGAATATTTTATACGAATACTCCGTACAAACCTTATATTTTTAAGTTAAATTTAGTAATGTTTCTATGCAAAGGTTTAATACTTTTATTTAGTAAGTTTAACCATTGCTAGTTTCATTAAATTTATAATCAAAATATTATATTTTTCTTAAGTTTACAAAAGCTTATAAACATTTCCTTTGAATATCTGATGAAAGCTGAATACTTTGGATTTAGTTCTCTGGAAGGAACGTTTTGACCTAGCAGTCTGTACGTACAGGATATAAAAACAAAAATAAAAGAAATGTTTCTTTTGTCATTAAAAATATTCATATAAATTTTCAAAATGATAAACATCTAATAGTTTATATATAGATAATATATTATTTAAAATGAAGTATACTGACAAATATTTCAAAAATGTTTATTGGATGACATATTTATAGCAATATAAACAAATTTAATTATGAATTTAACAAAACCAAATGTTTTGAAATTAGCTAGAATAATTGCTCATTGATAATACAATATATACTGTCTCAGGATGAAAAGAGTCATTGCCCAAAATTTTAAATTCCGAATGAAAAGCAGAAGAGAAATTAGGGTAGATTAAGAAATATAATTAATTGTGTTAGGGATTTGTCCTACCATTATTAGTCTCAGCAACTAATATTTAGAGGACATTGTTCTTTCAAAGTATTAATGTATACCTCATCCTGTTTTTACTTTCACTTACGCATATATATGTTATATATAGTAAGGGTAAGTATTGCGATCAACTTTTTTTGAACTGAGTTTTCAACGGAAATACACGTTTTGGACTACTCTGAGTCCAAATAACCAAGTCCCGAAAAATGGTCTGTGTGTCTGTGTTTATGTGAACACTCTAGCTCGAAAACGAAAAGTCCTACGAAACTGATATTACGTATTTAAGATAGGTATATGCCTTAGATGTGGCAGCAACTTTTTCCTTAAAATCGGCTAACCTGAAGTACCACTTTATATCAACGCTGAAACACA